GGACTACGAATAATGACTGGGTGCAAGTCATCGCAGTGTATTCAACCCCGTACTGCTGTATGCAACAGCTGAGGGTGAATCGACTGCCCAGCCGCAGCAGAGAGCCACGTGAGGCTGGGGGTCGACTATGCCTTCCCGGTCGAAGGGCCAGGGTCAGGCCACTCAAGCTGGTGGCTCTTCAATGATTGGGAAGTCTTGCTCAAGTAGGAATCGTCTACCCGGCCTGCTGGTGGTGTAGGCGGTAAGATGGCAGGTTAGTAAGAGCGAGAACGCCTGTGGATTTTCTGCCGCTGTCCAATTTCATGGCCACGTCTGCCCCGTGCTAAGCGGCCGGGTAAGGAATGTCCAGCGCTGGCTCCGGCATGGATGTTTGGTCCCGATTAGTAAGAGCGAGAACGCCGGGGCCACCCATAGCTTAGCTTGTATAGAGGGTAGGTGAGCCAATCAGCAGCCGTAGTCTGGTGCCGAGACTCATGTTCGGGGTGAGCCGTGCCTTAGGGCCCAGGGCACTGGTGGACCAATGAAGAACAGAAAAGCCTCCCTAACTAGCTGCAGTGGCTGCTAGGTTGAGGTGGGCACCAAGGTGGAGAGGAGCAGCTGTGGCTGACGTGTCTCGCCTTCAGGGTGCTATGAATAAGCCTGCAAGTTCATCTGCCGAGTTTGCCCCTATATCCCAGGCTGGCGGGCTTGGGTTTTAGTACCGGTTCTGACAGCTGAACCTGAGCTTGTGCCATGAGCCATAGAGGGCGATAGCGTCGGCGGAGTGCAGGGTTGAGGGTCAACCAAAAACCCTTGATGCTGTGCAGTTCAGTCCGAAGGCTAGGGGTGTACCACCCCAGCAACAAGGCTGAGGGCATACTAAAGCCCTCGTCTGATGGGTCGCCAAGGTTGAGGGTAAACCAAAAACCCTGGACGGCTGCGCAGTTAAAAGGGTGCTTGGGGGAACCAAAAGCCCTGCAAGGTTGGAGAGTACCGCCACTCAGGACGGGGTCATTTCCCTGCCAGTAGGCGTGGGTACGTCTGGAAAACCTCACATTCTTCACAGTCCCTGCCACTGAACATGGGCGTCCCGGTTTTTACATCAGGGTGAGCTGCCTCGATAGCCCCTGAGAGCCCACTGGCCAGCCCCTGCCTATGGTAGGGTGTAGCAGTCAGTGGAGGAGCCGTAGGTAGAGTAGGTCTAGCCTACGGGCAAGGACTTCGGACCGGAACCGGTACCACGCCCGTCTCATCTCCGGCGTGCATGTTTAATTAATCTGACATGTTGACTGAGCTCTGCTCACGCCCCCGTGCGCTTGGTGAGAAAAATTCTCCTTGTTATGTTTGCCCAGTTGGTGCCATGTTGTCTTGACGGTACAGAGAGAAGCATGAGAGCTTTTCTGCTGCATGACTTGGCATGAGCATGTTTGGTGCTGCATGACTTGGCATGAGCATGTTTGGTGCTGCATGACTTGGCATGAGCATGTTTGGTTTTGCCCAAAGTCCCTAAAGCATGTTTGGGTTGACTGCGACACATGTCTCGTCTTGTTGGCATGGCCGAGGATGAGTTTTGAAGCACTTGGAACTGCTTGAGAGCAGTAGTGAAGAAGTGCGTGTCAGAACTCTGAGGTTCTGTCTTGTTGCAACTCACTCCGTGTCCCCGCCACTTCGTTCGTTGCCGTTGGACGTGTAGGATGGGAGTAGGAGTGCAGAGTGGACTCTGAAGCTTCGCTGTTTTGCTGTTAGGAAGTGACCTGAAGTCCCCGAGGTGTAGACCAAAGCAGTTGCATTGCTCTTTTGCTTTACCTCCTTTGTAGAACAAAGTTGAGATGGAATTCGTAGCATTTTGGAGCCCTTAGCTCTTGGAGAGAGCTTGCTGCAAGAACTGAAACTTGCTGAACACTTTGGTGTTTGGCTCAAGTGCGAAGTGAAAAAGAGACAGCTGCGCGAGCTCTGCTTTTCACAGGTTGCGACCATCTGTCACTGCAGGCTGCCTGCTGGCCACTTGTTCCTGGAGAAGGATGATGGCCTCTCCTGATGGTTTCAACTCACATTATAAGCCTCTCGACAGGCGGTGCATACACCTCGTTGCCTGCCTCCTTTTCCCTTCCCTGCAGGAACGGTCTTCTTCTTGTCGGTCTCACTTAATCGTGTGTGGATAGCTGGGGAGCCGGCCACTCGGCCTGGTTGCCCTGGACCTGTGAGTCAGTGCGAGAAAGCAGGGGCCTCTACATGTCGGCAGTTGACCTTTTTTCTGCTTGGGCAGTGAGGTGAGGCGGTGGTTGCCATTTTGTTGGTGTGGGGCTCCACTTGCATTTTGTGAAGGTAAAGAGCCAACTGGAAAAAAACCCAGTGGTGCTGAGAACACCTCAGGACACCATGTTCAGGCCCCTCAGTTTTACCCAAGACTTGGCCTCTGGCCGCGAACGCGTTCGCTAGTGTGAGAAAGTTTTTGACTTCCTTGTGAGTGCCCTTGCAGTTGACATGATGTCTTGCACATGTGGGATCCATGAGTTTGCTTTGCATGAGTGTGAAACTACGTTTGAACCTTGTGTTTTGCGTTGGCAAGAACAGACGTTGGCATGGCATGGCAAGGTGAGGCTGTGCTTCGAAGAGGTGCGCCTGGTATGCCTCCATGCCACGCTCTGGATTGCCCGCCATGGCGGGGCGGAGTGGTCCAAAATGGACTCGGGATTGAAAAATGGGGGGCATGCACCGTGCACCTGGCAAACCGAGATGCCTGGAATGTTGGATTAGGTTTCGAAGAATTTCGGGAAACATGTAAGCTCGCAGCTACAGTCGATTGCAGTGCAGTCTGCTGGTGCAGTTTAGGAAAAGTTGAGTGTTTTAACATCAAGAGCGCGAAATGCTGTGAAGAGGGAGATTGCGTTCCTGCTCTCGCAAGTAGGATAGCGTCCAAAATTGAGCGGCTGCTGGAGGAAAGCTGCTAAAGCGTGAGAGATGAACTGAGCTGCTGGCCGCTTTCGAAAGTACCGTCCTTGACGCCGGTGTAACTTCGCATGACACATCGTTTGACCTGAGGCGTTTGAGGCCAAGATGGATGCTGAGCTGGGCAGGTTTGTCAGGAGCAAGATCACAGCTGAATTCCTGCAAGCACAGACGCTTATGGCATTGTTTTTTTCCTCAAGCTGGAGTTATTCAGTAAGCAGCTCACCTGATGCTGTGGCGCAGGCAGTGCCCGCTTGCATGAACTGCAGTGCAGATCATGTCGTCATGGCTAACCGAGTGACATGCCCGGCAACACTCGCCGAGAGGGACTCTGTCGGTTCACTACTGAGCCACTACTTTTCGCAATGTACTCACAGTTTGTATCATTTATCTTCCACTGACGAATCAACGACCAGACACATTGTTCACTATAATTTCACAATCCTAAGCACAAATAAATGACACATCTTTTTTTCAGAGAAACCAGTGTGTGCCAGGTATTCCTGACCTTAAACCTAGCACGTGAGAAGACACATGGTGCCATAAAGCCGCGCCGTTGACAAAGAACGGCCTGTGCAAAGCCTTCAGGGCCTTCGACGGAGAGGAGATTCAAACATTGCAGCAGAGCCCAAGAACATGCCAAAAAATGAGCCGTTGCGACACGTGGCGTGACTTCGTGCGACGAGAAAGCGGCGCCTTGCAGGGTTGCCAGCCAACCGTCCTCTTCCCCTTGCATGCGTCTCTATGCAGTGATGTTGCAAGGAAGACCAGCAGTGACTAGCAGGTGTCAGCATGACAGCTTTCGAGCCCCAGAAGGCCAGACTCAAGGACCCCATGTCCGGAAATCCGCGTAAACTTTGCGTAAGCCGGTGTAAGCCACATGCCAGACCCGTGCGCCACAGAAACTTCAGTTTCCGCGATCTAAAGTTGACGTGCCGCGGAAGCGTGAGCTCCGCAATGGAAGAAATCCACGATGAGTCTTAGCCGAAAGAATTTTGAAAGAGTCTTCATCTTGGACCGTTATCGACCAACGACCATCTCCATGGAGCTGCCTGCTGCATTAATTTGCTTTTCGGCCGCAGGATTTCCAGGATTGCCAAGATTAGGAGCATTGCTTTGTCAAACTGCACGTTTGAAGTTAGGACCACCAGGTCGGTGAAAGAGGTCGCCAGGTTGCGTTGGAGATTTTCTCAATCAGTGAATCAGTCGCAGCATTTGTTTGATATCCTGTAGCTGCAGTTCGAAGCCAAAATGACGGTTGCAAACCAAGATAAGCCATTTTGCCATTAAGACAACCTTTGCTGTATAGATTTATGCTGCAGGCAGATGGTGATTATCACGTTGATTCGCGCAGTTTCTTTTCGGGGTAAAATCAGCGAGGGTGTTTGTTGCACAATTGGGCTGTGTTTGCTTGGCTTTGCTGTTCAGGGAGTCATCATTGGAGAAATGTGCTTTTCGGCGGGTGATTAGGGCATGCAAAATCATGACGTAAAATGCCATCAAGCATCAGGCTTCAGGTTTCGTTTGTTGCGGGCAGCCGCAATTTTTTCCTCAGATGAGTGAATACCTCCTGTCAGTATCATGCATGTTGATTGTGTATTCCGGCATAGTAGGTTTTTGTAATTTTGTTCGGTGCAGATCACGTTCCTGTGACAAGGATGACGCCGTCTGCAATCGACGATTTTTTTGCACGTGTCTCCATGTATAGGCGATCTGCAGTATGAGCCCTTAATTTGGGTCCCCTGTTTTGAAACCCTTATATACACTATAGTGTAACGGACCACCCTAAGGGCCCATGGCTCCAACCTTAGAATGTATGTGGCGGAGGCCACGCACCCTTCTATGTTCTTTTTGCAAGTGCCACTTGAAGTTGCCACTATGCAAGAAAAGAAGTCGCCAAGGAACTGGGCATGGGGTTGGTGATCACGATTCCTTTAAGCAACCCCAGTTAAGATACGATTGGGGTGTTGTTTTGTTTTGCATGTGTCGTACACACAATCTGAACCTCGGATCCACGAACACGCAAGCTTTGGGATCAAAGTAGGAATTGAATAGATTCACCCGAGGGGTTGATGGCTGGCAGGTATGTCAATGAGGCAGAATGCATGGTGTGTAAAACAGCCTGTTGATTGTGATTGTGCAGTGATGCAGGACACCGTTGAATCTGAGCGTCCGTTGAAAGTTTGCGCCGAGGACAGGACGTTGTGTTTGTGATTACTGTGATTACTGTGGTTGCCGTGGTTGCCGTGCTTGCTGCGCTTGCTGCGCTTGCTGGGCTTGCTCTGCTTGCTGTGCTTGCTGTGCTTGCTGTGCTTGTTGTGCTTGCTGTGCTTACTGTGCTGTTGTTCTTGTGGCTGCTGCTGCGGCTGTTGCGCCCGCGGCGGTTGCTTTAGTGGGAGATTTCCATGTCAGCGGACACGTTCATGGAGCGAGTGCCTTGGAGGCTGGGAGAAAATGTGTGCGGAACATACATCAGTACCCGGTTTTGTCCGCTGAGCTACTTGGTCGTAAGAGTTGTTTTTGAGAGCCGCAGCAATGTTTCGTGCATTTCGTAGCAAAGGTGGATAGCCTTGGTGGACTCTTTGAAGCAGCTGTCCAGACTAGTTCCGTGCTTGGATTTGGTTGAGTCGTGTGCGCCAAATGTTGTGGCAACCTTTCAGCATCGTCGCAACCAGGTCCAATTGGAAGGTCGAATGCCTGTTAATCCTAAGGCTGGCACATCTGGCACGTGATTTGTGAGATCATGCAGACACATTCAAACATCTAGCACATGCCCCGGCCGCGTAGGTTCTGGAAGCTCAGGGACGAGACATGGACTCTGAGGGAACGCTCTGGGACCAGGACGACTTGTGTGCTGCACTTTTGCCTTGGTTGACACAAGTTTGCAAGGAGACGCATGAGAATGCCATACGCATTTTGGTTGAAGAAGCCAAAGTCAACTTGTGCCTCAGGAGTGTGGGGGCCGTCGTAGGGGCATCGGTTGTTTTCAAATTTTTTGCGTGAGATTGACATCCGCTTACTGGTGTTTCAGGATGATGTATGACTTCAAGAAATGGCAGCAGAGTCCTGCTGAGAGGCAGGCGACGATGGAGGAAGCCATGAAGGCGTCTCTTGTTTTGGATTGGAAGTTGAGTTCGTGAGTGGCGCCTTTGTCAGGCGTACGACTCTACAGAAATGCAGCTGGAGCAGAAATGTATTCAATTTGAGGACATTTCCCCTTTGGGCGCATTCGAGCACATTGTGTGAGTTTGTCAAGAGACTCGGCTGGGTTACAGGAGTGCCTGGGCACACTTCTCCGGAAGGCGTTTATGCATGTGAGCGTCCGAGTGCGATTATCCAACACACGTGTGCTCAATGGTACGACATGAGCAAGATCGAGCACGCAAGGTCGAAACTTTGCAGCTCATGGACATCCCGCTTCTCATTGAGCACTGTGTCAGAGCCTTGATAGAGCACAACGCATGCACAAGCCAAAGGCCGCTAGAATTTTGCTGGAACCTTGAGATGTTTTGAGGTCTTCATTCTGCAGGGCTGTTTCAGTTCACTCGGTGACAGTCTCGGAGATGCTCGCCTCCAAGAGTCCGTGGTCTTGTGTCCCGGTCGCAACTAACCTGGCTCATCACACATGGTCACTCCTCAGAGCCTCTGTTCTTGACAAGCTGGCAGATACTACTTCGCCTCGTTGATGAAACATGCTGAGGCCACGAGTCTTTTGCTTGTTTGCTTGTTTGCTTGTTTGCTTGTTTGCTTGTTTGCTTGTTTGCTTGTTTGCTTGTTTGCTTGTTTGCTTGTTTGCTTGTTTGCATCTTAGAAGTCTTACAACACGCTTGCAACCTTCCATCTTGGGGCTTCTGAAGGCATTGAACAACTCTGAACTGCTTGCACGAAGCCGTGAGCTTCAATTGGTGGAGCTGGCAGTGAGCCACTTCCTTCGCTTCGCGGAGCAGTGCGCCGCAGCAGTGCTATGAGAGCTTTGTTTCCAAGATTACACGCTAATTGCAAGTGTCTTCTCATTTTTCCCACCGAAGGTTTCCTGATGATCTGAAGCACAGCCTTGCAGAAGGGCTCGCGGTAGGATTCTCAGTGATTCTCGTTGTGACTCTCGTTCTCAATGCGTGTCCCGCGTGCTCATTGCTGACATTGCTCGAAGCTAGTACACACAGTAGTGGTACGTGCGTGTTGTGCACATGCAGACAGCAGAGCAGAACCTACCCTTTTGGTTGTTTTAAGAGGAAACCTGTCTCGGGGGCCTCGCCCTACTTTCTGGTTACTCTGTGGGTAACATGGCACTTTACCCACCCTGCCGCATTCAGCCTGGCTGGGGTACGTCTCTGATTCCCCACCAGGTCCTTTTCAGCGCCTGCTCCCCTCGTCGTTTTTTTTTCAAGGCACAACTGTGTTGACTTCTTACGTGCAAAATGCGTGGGTCTCCCAGACCCCATCCAAAACGTCAGACCCCGTGTGGTGTGCACATGTGTCATCGGCACGGAATGCAGTGGGCCCCAGTGTTCTGGGACCGTTTGTGTGAGAAATCTCGGGGCGGGGGCGGGTGGGGGGGGGGGGGGGGGGGGATGATACGTTCATGTCCCTGCGCTCCAGTTTCCTGAATCAGCTGGTTTCCGAATCCGCACGCTTCAGTTTCCTGAATCAGCTTGTTTCCGAATCCGCGCGCTCCAGTTTCCTGAATACGCGGGTTTCCCGAATCCTGGTTTCCCGAATCCGCGCTTTCAGTTTCCGAATCCGCGGTTTGAAGTATCCCAATCTCCGGTTTCCTATTCCGCAGTTCCCTGAATACGCGGGTTTCCCGAATCCTGGTTTCCCGAATCAGTGCTTTTAGTTTCCCGAATCAGGTTTTTTTCTAGTTTCCGAATCAGGCTTTTCCAGTTTCCGAATCCGCGCCTTTTCAGTTTCCGAATCCGCTGCTGACCCTATCGAAAGGGTTGGGTTGTTTCCAGTCCTAATGGAAATAAAGATCCAGCAAACCAGCAAGCTTAACATGATGCAAAAGCAAAAGGGCAACTATGTCTGATCTGCCCGAAGCTTTCGAAGAGCCGGGTTTCCCTAAACCACTCGAGCTTTTAAGGCCGTCCCAACATTAATCCCCCTGCATCCCAGGGCTGCAGATTACGACGCCCTAAGCGAAGATGTTGACCAGCATACCGTAAACCTTGAACGACCTCTTGAAACCCCTCTTTGAGCAGCTGTTCACGAGTTTCCTTTTCCATGGTCGATGTATGACTGGCCGACCAGCCATGCAGGCAGCAAGGTAGGACAGAACCCCGGCTATTCCAACAGAAGAGTGTCGATAAGTAGGGCAATGCCTCAACGGGCAGCTGAGGTTTACTTGCAAAAGTTTGGACAAAAGGGCTTCATGTTCGCTCCAGGGTGCAAATCAGTCCTGCTTTTAGCTTTTGGTGGACAATGATTGTCTGCGTTTGCTACACACGCAGGCCAACATCACCGATGCCGGGGCCCCTCCTGACAGGTTCCATCACTCACTATTTCCTACCGCCTTGTGCATAGTTGGGGAATAGCAGCCTCCAAACATGCTCGAGATTTTTTGTTTCATTCGGAAAAAACCAACATCAGAAATTCCCACCAAATCGCCAAAGACTCGCAAGAGCCCTTCTGAGACTTCTTAATAGCTCTTCTCCATCGAAAGTGTTTGTGATTAGTGATTAGTCACGAAAGCTAGCTCCTTCGGAGCTTGCGGGAGTTCTTGTTTACCAGTTTGTTCTTGGGCCAAACAGCACTAAGGGGCCTTAATCTCCGATATATCGGAGGTTTAAGGTGCCTTGGGGGGGGGGGGGGCGTCAGACAAGGATTACTTTGGCTGCGAGATTTGGGGGGGGCCTCCAGGTTCTCGATGGGGGGGTGCCCCCCCCCCCCCCTCCTTTGGTCCCCCCCTCCCCCCCCGTGCAAATGTCTCATGCATGAGCTTGCGTCGTTTGATCTCCGAACTGCAGAACTGGTTCGCATGACAGTACGAGACGAGCTTGCTTTGTGAGAAGTCAGATGTTTTCTAGGCATGAACTCTTTCGTACACATGAAGACTACACGCATGCATCGAACCAACTCTGTCAATATGAGCTTGCATTGCACGCAGCAAGACAGTGAAGAGAATCCTGTAGGAGCTTGCCTTGTGTGATCTCCAACATTTAGACGAACCGGTTTGCGTGATAGCAAACAAGCGACGAGTGCCCTGGACGAGCTTGCGCTGTGAAATTTCCTCGGATGTGTGTCTCATGTATGACCTGAGCTCCTGTGTAAGAGAGTTTGTGCGATGTGCATGACAGGTTCGACATTGTTTGTACATGCATACTGCCCGTTGACGCGAGAAGATAGAGCGACACTGTCTGTAGTGCCCTAGCTTTCGTTCGCCCTGCTCTCAAGTTTCCTCTTGGCACACTGTGTGGGGAGGAGTGAAGACATGAATATCTCATCTATGTAATTCTGAATTTCCGGGCCGCTTGGTGGCACTTCTATGAAAATCATGGAAATTGTAAACAGGCCATGGCGGACAACGAGGATTTCATGTTCCGCGCTTAGGAAGCTGTCCAACAGTTCTGGAGCTGTGTTCGATCTCACCAATCACCTTGGCTACAACCAGAATCCGAGGACCGAGTGGGAATCCTTCTTCCCAAGTCCAGACGTGTAGAGCTCAGCAAGAGATAGCAAGAATGGGTTTTTGATTGAAGGCGTCTTGGCATACTCCTGCAAATCAGGCCAAGGCAACCTTCCTCATGCTACAAGACAAGCTGACAGCTCCCATTTTGGAGGATCCTTTCCCCTTTCCAATTGTGGTTGCTGCTACTCACTTAACTTCCGTGTGTGGGTTTGAGGACAAACCTGAGAAGCGGCGGGAAATCAGACCACTTCTGGACTTCTTCAATGCCATCAAGCGGTCCATGCATCTTGCAGCGCATGATGTGCGATTGTGTGATTGTGTTCGAAGCTAGGAGTAGACATGCGTAAGTCACAGACATGCCCTCCCAAGCAGCACCCCATGTGCTTTGGTGGCTAAAGTTATGAAGAGTTTTGGGCGTAAGTTGAGTGTTTTGGCGAAGTGGCAAGGCGACCGTGCATAGTAGCTGTCTCTTTGAGCGGTACCAAAGTTATTGATGGACCGACGCGAACATCCTCGAGTATCCTCAAGAAGTTTCTGGTGGTTCTTTCTGACTGTTTCTTATCCAGGTGATGCTGGCAGCCGGTCTTTGCCAGGACGGTGGGTGCCAGCTTGATCTTCGCGGTACTAGCTCAGAAGTCACATAAAAGCTTCCGAGCCCTCATGACTACGGAGCGCATTGAGTTTATAGGCACCATATGAGGATCCTTTCTTCATCGCTCATGTGTTTGCATCCTTATGTGGCACTCGTTGGGCGTGCATTTGCAACATGGATCGCTCGGCGGTGTGCGCTTTACTGAGAACTGTCAGGAGGACCGCCAAAGCTGGCAAAGCCGCTGGCACTGTGCATAGATTCGATGCCTTGCTAATTTGGCGGAGGAGAACTTATCTGGTAGTTCGTGGGTGGACAGCTATAGCTGGTCATCAAGTTTTCTGAATAAGCTCTTGTTGGAGCACAAAGGTTTGGTTCGTAAGCTCATGAGAAAGATCCAGACGAAGTAAAATACTGTAGTGCAGTATCCGGTAGAAGGGTTACTGTAGCGGTCAGCAGTTCCTGTGCTAAAAGCACGCTGCGAAGAAACCGAGTGCAGACAGAGTGCATCCATAGCCAGCCTCAACAAAGGTGCCTGTCAGCAGTTTCAGCAGCTTTCCCACATCCACGTGCTTGCGCGCACTTGGCACTCTGGCACTATTGGCAATATTGGCGCTGTTGGCTTTATTGGTTGTGACAGCTGTGCCGTATCTTGCTTTCACAACCTGGGTCGACCTGCTCCTCAGCATGTAACCAGCATCAGCACTTCCATCAGAAGTCAATTGCAGTGCAACAGTGGAACAGGCTGTCTTTACGTCTCTTAAGGCTCATGGCCTGCCATGGCCCTCACTTGCTGCAATGGCATCAGGCGTCTTGCGGTGTAAAATGCCGTACTGGGTCAGGTTGGCCGCAATCATCCTCTTGGCTGAGCTGCCGCGAGAATCTCAGTTGTTCAGCCAGTCATGAGGCAATGTCGTTAATTTCTCGGGCGCAAGGGGCAGAATTTTCCGAAGGAGTCTGGGCTTGAGCATCATTGGCGGTCGTGTGACGCGTGTTGCAATCAATGCCAGCGACAGTTGGGGGGGGTGGGGTTGGGGGGGGGGGTGGGTGGGGTGGGGGGGGGGTGTTGTTGGGGGTGGGGGGGGGGGGGGGTTGTTGGGGGTGGGGTGTTGACGCCAAGAACACGTCAGGTGGCATCAAGAGGTTCGGGTAGGAACAAGCGAGTCGAGTAGACGTTGACAGCCACAACGATCTCGAGCAGCCAAGCCTTTCCAGGCTTCAACATAGACCATTGCACCTTTTTGCCAGCAGCTGTGCTTGGGTAACATGTCTAGACATGAAGCATTTCGTGCCATCCCAGTCAGAAACTCATTCTATGTATTCAACGTCGTGTGTTGCTGAGGGCATGTATCTCCCAGCGCGCCTTCAAGATCAGCAGCAGTGCGTCCGGGCCCAAGAGTTGCACTCCGAGTTGCGCCCCTCACAGTCTTTAATCGGTTTTCACTGGTTTTCAGGATGCCGATTACATGACTATTACATGCTTGTCTCCCCAATGAGTTCTTGCATGGGCATGAGCTTCGAGCCAATTTCGAAGCACCATTCGACATTGGTGTGGAGGATTAGACTGACCCCATGAAGCAGCAGACCCAATGAGATATCCACCGAGCCATGCAACATCTTGCTCTACGAATCTTCAAATCGGGCTTGTTCAGTTCACAAATATGAAGATTCGCGGCTGTAAAAGTCCGCAAAATTCCCTCAGTTTGATCCAGGAGATTTTTTCGGGATTTTCCAGCTTACTGGGCGAATTCTCACCGATAGCCGCTTTCGTTTCACTATGTTTCACTCGCCAGAGCTTGTTCTGCCACAAAGCTTCGGAGGTATTGGAGAGGTTCATAAACAATGGCAGATCCCTGTCCTTTTTTGCTTTCGGTCTCGGATGCCTCCTGCTTCAAGATTTTCCACCAAGCGAAAAAGTGGAGACGCCAGAAGGCTTTCGGGTGCCAACAGGCCCAGCACACAGAAGCAAGAAGTGCCGGTCACAGAACGCAGAAGCTCCCTTGGGCACGGTCACACCAGCAGGCTTTCAGGCACCCAGGAGCAGGTGCAGCTCTCCTGTGCCGTCCCCATGAAACTTCCCCCACCCGGTTTCGGCGTCGTGCGCAGCCTGCCACTCCTCCCGGGAGTTTTCGTCCCCTGTCCATCTCTCTGTCATTTGTCATTGTCTGTCTGTTTCTGTCTCTTTCTCTGTCTCCGCTTCGCGCTCTGTCTCTGTCAGAGACAGATAGAGAGACAGAGGCAGTGGTCTCTTAAAGCCACGAAAACGTGTGAACTTTTGTCATGTTCCTGAGTGATACGAGAGTGTGAACGCTGTGTGCCGACCCTATCTCGTACATCGTTCGGCCGTAAAGTTTCCTGTGTGCGCTATTGAGGAAAGACATGGATGTAGGAACGAAGGACCAGGAAACAACTAATTTTTTGAAGAAATACAGACCAGAGATGGGAGCTTTTTTGGCGTTTAGGGGAGTGTTTGTGCTCCAGCGGGTGGAGAACTTTGAGAGTTTTTGTATGGCCGACCCGGAGCTCTGCAAAGCACACGCGATGGGTCGGTGCATGCTGCACGTCACGTTGATAAACCCTTTGTAACTCCCTTCACGACATGATTTGAGCATGCGCTGGCATGCAGGCAGAACACCCGCATTCCCTCAGGGATAATTGGTTTTGATGCTCACGAAGTGGGTCGACGTGCCAGGTAGATTGACACATGGCCACGGCACCCATGTGTGCCCCTTCCGCTTTCGGACCTTCTTTGCAAAGTTGCTTGCGACATCGTGTAGAATCATTGGCCCTTTCAAAGACAAAGGATACCGAGTGATTGCCCATGCTGAACGAATAGCTGTTGTGATGAACTTCTGTTTTTTCGTAAGATGCTTGAGGATGTGAGATGAGCTGAAAGTTCGGAATAGAGTTTTGACATATGATACTCTAGAAGTGCTTCGTTGTTGGGAGCGAGTGTGCCTGGATTGTCCTGTCGTTGGCTCCCCCATGCCTGCCCCTCCGCGATTCAGGAAACAAGGGTTTAGGAAACCAGGATTCAGGAATCTAGGCGATTCAGAGACCATCTTGGGTTAACAATGCTTGATTTCGAAAAGCTGCCAGTCGGGAAAGGGGATGGCAGCCCAGAGATTTTTTCTGGAATTGCAAGCTTCGACTGAAACAACGCCGCACCCAGGTGCACCTTGACGTCGTCGGTTGCAAGCTGTCAGGCAGTTGCCCTTGCAAACCGTTGCATCTGTTCACTCTATAACTACAGCTGGCCACCGGAGAAGCTGCCCGCAATGTCAGGTGGCTGCCGCTGGCGACGCAGCATTGCAGGTTGTTTTCAACGCCGCTGCAGCTACGACTTTGACGCTAGACATGCTGGGCACTTGTTACAGCGTGTGGCCGGCTGGTTTTCGTGGATGTGCACCTTGGTTTCAGGTCTGTCAGCACAACCTGCAGTGCATCTGGAGCTGTCTGTCCACAGGTTCGGGAATTTTAGCATGCGCCCAGCATGGAGGCTTTGTCATTTGAAGGTCTTCATGGTGACATCAGATCACGCAGAGAATGTGGTGAAGCTGTCCAAGTGTTCCTATTACAAGCAGCTTGGTAAGATGAATGCCAAGTGGGGTTATCTCAACTCTCTTCGGGGATCAGGCAAGCGGACTACAGCACGCACTTGTTGACCTACACCTTCATGAATGTTGGCGCAAGCTCTGCTTTTGCAGCCGGTGCCTTATTCAAATGCTGCCACAGATGCTGCCCGACATGCCACCGACTCTTTGAGCAAAACAGAAAGTGGCTCAAAGAACAAAAAATTGGCATTCCATGTAACAAGGTAACAATTTTTCAAAACGAGATGTTGAGAGCTCTCTCTGTCTCTCTCGCAAGGTCCAGGATGACCACGGCGTTGGCCGAGCGGCAGGGGCACCCGGGAGCCCTCTCTCCTTCTTTTTTTAAAATTAAGTTAAGTCACTCACAAAGCAGTTATTCACTTCAAGAAAGAGATTGTTTTGGAGTCGCAGACTATCTTTTTTGAGGTGGTCCCGCCTGGTGCCATTCGAGAGTGCGTTCGCCTTACAAGCTTCGAGTCTGGCATCAACTCGTTTTGTTTGGCTTCTGTCTGCAGGCTTTTGTCACTGCTCTGGAACTTGCTCCACCGGCACAAACAATCAGCTGTACTGCACCCATATCAGCACACGTTGAGAAGCCGGGACGCAGAACCTGCCAGCACAATTTGCGTGGTCTCAGCGGTGCGTGCTGACACTGCACGCTGTGTCCCGGGTGTTTCACGGCCGTGTTTCGGCACAAGCTGGCCCAGGACATATGCCTCTGCCAGAGGCCACTAAGTGATTGCTCTGAGCCAAAAGATGTATGCGTCGGACTGCTGCCTTTTCCCAACGAAATCAAAGGACTGCAGTGACTTCGCAGGGATGCGCTGGTGGCTTGCTATGGTTTGCTCAGATTAGGAACAGGCAACACTCATAGCACTCATGTGGTTGGGAGCGCGTCGTGGGATGTTCACAGCCATGGGCGCCCACTGACGTTTCGCCGCATGTCTGGGCCTGCTTTGGCTTTGGTCGTGCAATCCAGTCCACGACCAGCACTGAAGATTTGGGATGTTAAGCGTGAAAGTTGTGTGGAAGAGTCTACGTCGAGTGACTCAGCGAGCTACTCATGGGCAAAAGCGGTTGCCGCAGATTTCACCACTTGGGACATCCTTCTCTGTACACGGAAGTCATATTTGGAACTGTGGGACATGCGGAAGCTCCATGATCCTGTGGCTATAAGCGCCCCAAATGTGGGTGGGACAAAGACCTTGCGAGCCGACTTTCCCGCAAAGCGAGCACTGTCGTCTTCTGCGGATGGGGTGGTTCATGTTGCGACTTGGATTCGGACACATCATTGCACACAATGAGGCATACACGTACTAGGGCATATATGGTCGTGCCCCGGCGGACCCCGTCCCTCTCCCCTCCCCGGTGGTGGGTTTCTGGAGGGTTTTAGGGTTTAAGGTTTTGGATTCAGGGGTTTTGAAGTTTAGGGTTTAGGGTTTGAGAGGCTTAGGTTGAGGGTTTGCAGGGTTCAGGGCTTAGGGTTCTGGAGGGCAGGGCGAAGACCGGGAGGGGGTGATACCAGGGGAGGTGGGGGCGAGAACGCACAGCGCACAAACATATGTGAGTTGCGCCCGTGCTCCGCGTTCTCATGGTACCCCTCCATGCTCTCAAACCCACACCTTCAAACAAACTCCGACTGTCATTTCTTGTGTTTCCAAGTGAAGAGTGGCTCCGCCACACTTTGCAAAAGTAGCCCACCACACCTTAAGCAAAAGGTGTGGCACCACGCCTTAACAAAAAAACAAGAGACACTCGGGAGCGCACAGCACACACACACACACGCACATATATATATATATATATACATGTATGTATGTATATATATATATATATATGCTCGCCCCCCCCCCATGATATACTAGAGCTTTGTGTATTCCAGTGCAGTTTTGACTGCATTTTTCCGAGGAAAAAGCAGAAATTCAGACCAAGACGAAGACAAGAAAACCATAGGTGTGGATCATGGGGGGGGGGCTGACCATATATATATATATATATATATATAGTACAGTGATTTTGTTTCCGGCATTTCTGCTTCGCTTCGCTTCGCCTCGCCTTGAGCTTGGACTCGACAGGTTGACCTTTCCTCCAGCCTCCACACGATGAAGAGTCTGCCAGGGCACATGGATGAGGTGACGTGGGCTTCCGTTGACTGGGGCAGTGAGAACAACCAGGTCATCCGTGCCGCCACCATCTCTGTGGAACAAGATGTTCTTTTCTGGGACGTGGCATGGTCCCAACTGCAGCTTCCACCAGAGGATCAGCAGAGCGAGAACGCAGGGGACAGTGCAGAGCCAACTCAGCACCCATTCTGGCACCCCAGGCGGCTTACTGAGGGCCATCAATACCGATCACGTGTTGCGGCCTACAATGCCACCGCCAGGTACAACCAGATCAGCGCATTTACGGGGTCTGCAGATGGGATGGTACACTCCTGGATTGTCGATGACATGGATCACGATCACCTGCACCGAGGTGGAAGCCCACTCGTTGGACACACAGATCAGGTGACGAGCCTTGTTGCAGACTGGCATGATCGGTTTGTCCTCAGTGGGTCTTGTGATGGCACGCTGCGCTTGTGGAACTTCGCCGGCCATCACTGCGAAGGTGTGCTCGTGGGCCACCAGGGCTCCATTCGGACCACAGTCGCAGACTGGACACAACGGAAGGCCATCAGCACCTCCATGGAAAGCGTACACATATGGGACTTGGGCACGCGACAGGAGGCCTTGGAGAGAAGCCCGATTGCAACGTTGGAGGTGCAAGGTGGTGTCTGTGAGATGTTGGCGACATTCTCGGCACGATCTGCAGCCTTTGTCAGTCGAATGGGCAGCATTGAGTTCTGGGATTTGGATCATTCGGCACGAATTTATTCGCTTCAAGGCCACCCGGGGACTTTATTTGCAGTTCACTTGGGCGAACATGTTGAAGCCAGCAAAACTACGGAAAGTGCTGAGATGGGCAGCGGGGCTAGAGAAGGACTGGAATGGATGGGCAGCTTGACGCCGGCGTTGGCTGGGTCCTGTGCCTCGGGGTGGTCCAGATCCGCTTTCTGAGGCAGTTTAGCCCGTTAGGATCCGTTAGGTGATTCAAGATGGGTCGCCACGTATCGGCGTGGAGTGCATTCCAAAGGCGTCCTGGCCATTGGCTGGTGCAGCATGTGGAAGATCCACCGTTCGAGATGCAGTGTCACGTCGTTTTGAATCGCTGACAACAAATGCAACGAGCAGAGGCTGTTAGATTTGTAGACACCGAGCACCTGAGCTCATCTGACCAAGCCGTCAGTAATTTCGTCCGGCCCACCCAAATCCTACAAAGCAATCCGTTTGTCGATGTTATGGTGCATTCGTTTTTCGTAGCATTCCGAGCTCCCTGCCCCCCGAAATGACTCAATATTTGAGGGCGTGAAATGAGTCACAGCTTCGTGACTCGTAGTCGTGCCATGTCGATCTAAAGCTTCAGTTGTCGATCAGAAATGTCTTCGTTTGGTTAAATATGAAGTATTGGTGCAACATTGTTCAAGCGCTGTGCGCTGGCGCTGGCCAGTGTATGGAAGCGAGCTGGTTTGAAGCATTGGTGCTTCGACTCCCGTGCAGTGGCACGTTTGGTTAGCAACAGAACCATGCTAAAATGAGGAGTTTTGCTCGATTGCACTAAGCTTTCTGTTGGATCTGTTGGTGTTTCGGCGTATGCTGCATGCGCTCTTCCTTAGCCTCTCCGAGTTCGCCTGGGAAATAAAAGCTTGAGCAAACCGAAGTTTGGAAAGGATCACAGCAAGTAGGGAAAACCGTCATCACCGGCATCTGGCTTCAGCTGGTGCCGGAACTTGTTCGAGAAGCGCAAGGACAACCCACGTGCCATAGCGAAATCAGTCAAATCACGTTCCGTTTCTTTTGCTACGGAAGGGTTGTGATTTTGCTGCTTTCTGGTGCAGTCAAGAAGCGCAGATGACGATCCTCAAGCAGAGGAAGGGGGAGCGATTGATCAGCGACATGAAGAATTCATCAGACGAGCCGATCGTGACTTTATTAGGCGTACCAAGCCGAAGCATTGCAAAGGTATGCTGGATACGCCACGCGAAATCTTGTTGCCGCGACTCCAATACGGAAGAACACACCACCCGATTTACCGGGTGTCAGTGCACGTCTAATCTGCCAACGAGTTTTTGAGCCTGGGCATTCCCACTGCCTCGAAATGCTATGTTTTTCTTCTGCTGCTTGTGACCAGGATAATTGCAGGTGAGTACGAACTTAGGACCTAGTGCGGAACTTCAGGCCAAGCAGAGATTGCAATTGATGTTCGCATTTTTTTGGTGTGTTGCTATGTTGCTTGCAGACTTGTTCAACCAGCAACCCTTCCTCTGAAATGGATCACGGTTCAAGCTTGTGGTTGCAGGCAAACAGAGTGTATTGAACATGTATTGAACCTTTTTCTCCCAAACCAGCAACTCTGCCAACCCCCCCCCCTTTCTCAGCACAGCATCGGAGCGTTTGAATACTGTCGAACATGAAGACATGCGGCAAGTGCACGGCCATGGAGTTGGAGCGCTGTTTCGGCTTATGCCTGCAGAAGCAGGGCCGTGACATCGCAGGGATGATGTGAAGGGGGGTGTCAGCGGATTCGCCTGGGCCGCCCATCATCCTGCCGAATGCATGCTGTTGCGATGGGTTCAAGGCAAGGGCAACAAGAAAGGCAGGGCAGACTGAATGCACAACCCGAAAGGTAATGCAAAACGCAGAGGCTGCTGAACAGCTCGCCCTCCAACTCAAGGACGGCTCGGTCCGGCTTGAGTGAAGACATTCATGGCACTTCGGCTGGGGGTCAGGGCCTGCTGCGTGACAAGACCATGACGCATGACCAGTTAGCGTGAGGCCCTGAGATGTCCTGAGGTTTGCGGCTTGTATGAGTCGGTCTGGGATGTTTCAGCTGAGGTCATGCTACAGCATCAACCAGGGTCACAGCCTCGTCCAGAAGCTGAAAGAGATGAGTCTAGGCGATCATATGACGCTGGATGCCAAGCAATACCTGACGTGACGGGCAAGCTTGACTGAAATGAACTTTGTTAACAAGTGTGTCTCGACCACGTCCCAGTCTTTGTACTCCTTGCAACTTCCTCCATTCAGGCTATCGGCCTTCGTGAATCACTTCCACGAGCATTTTGAAGCCGTCGGTAAAAACCAGCTGAAGGCCAGGGGTTGCTTGACCCCCGGGATTTTGTTGTGCTAAATCCAAGCAAGCTGTAGGCAGTTTGGCCCCAGTGCAGGCCAAGGCACTCGCGACCCCAACGTCTCCATCTTCAGAAGGCTCCCACATCCCTCACGTGCGGCACCCTGCACATCGCCTGCGAAAGGAATTTTCCACAAAGTTGCGCTGGGGTTTGCATGGGTTTGCAACGGTTTGTCAGCTCAGGCTCGTAGAATTGAAGGCTATGGAAGCGTCAATGCAGGCGGGCACGTAAGCAGGAATACCACAGCGATCCACAGCGTCCGACAGGCTTTGGCTTGTCAGGACCTGGAGAGGGAGGGGAAGAGCCGGAAGAGCAGTCCATGCGGTACTCGGACATCTCGCAGAGCCTCCGGAACATCCTCAAGGAAGCGCCACAGCCCTGGAAAGCCATGAGACAGCCGCGACTTTGCTACGCTCTTTTTTAAGGTAACAAGAATGAAGCCAGACAGTTTCTTTGAGTTTCCTGAGTTCTGGCCCTCTTCCCCTTCAGAAGCTTGACGCCCTCTTTGTCGAAAAGTGCCCGTCATGCCGCCTTAGCAGCTTTCACCAAGTCTTGTTTTCACAGTGACTAGAGGTACCAGACATCGGTTTCTGCCATCGCTGGAATGTCTACGGTGGAGTACTTGCAGAGGAAGGAGAGCCTTTTCGAATACAATTCTGCCGAGCAGACCGTGACCTTGCTGGAAAAGGGCGCGGAGGCCTCAGGAAAAAGGCAAACAAGCTACTGCTGCTATTTGCTGCTATTTGCTGCTGGTGCTGTTGTGGCTGTGAACGAGGAGGCCTGTCCTGAAACGCCGAGGCCACTATCACAGCTGGTGAAATGGATGAAAGATTCGCGTACGTCTGAGAGCATTCGTGTTGCCATGTTGCCTGTCCAGAAAGATCAGCAGTCCAGGTCATCAAGGAGTTCATTCAGCTAATAGAGGCAGCTTCTGTGAGTACACATGAGTCATGTGAGTGGTGTTTGACTACGTAGACGACATGCCCAGTCGATGGGCCCTGTCACCTACATCTCCACCATTTGCGGCAAGTTCATCCAGAGGCTTGTTGTTGGGGTCCAGGGACATATGAGACACGCATGGACGAAGGCGCATGTCTCATGACAGGAACGGCATCTCTGTGACATCAGTCATCTCCAGCCGGCCCTTGGACCTCTTCAAGCGACACCCGGACTCTTTTCTTGTCTTGGGAGCTGGCAACGTCACCCTGAAGAAGTGACCCTCAATCTTGGCACAAGGTTAGCCAGGTATGTACAAGCCCCTCATTGCCATGTTTGTCGCTTTGTATTTCGAGCGGCTCGTGTTGATACGTTTTCGTGTGGCGTACGCACATGATGAGTCTCGTGCCACACACGTGACACGCTGAAAAGGAGTGACGGAGACTCTCCTGAAACCAAAGAGAAGGTACGAGAGCCTGCCAGAAGTCCAGCGACTCATGGAGCCAGCCCCGAAGGCTCACAAGAAGGCGCTCCTTTCCGGAAGCTTTCCTGCGCGCATCTGCGCGCCATTGCTTTGAGAGATTTTGAGAGCCATGCAAGGCTCGTGAGAAGGTGACGGAGGCGATGTTTTGCCTCCATTTGCCTCCAGGCAAAGGACACGATGGGACTGGTTTTTGAATTTGAAGGATCCACTGGAGATTCCGGACGTGATCACGGAACAGCATGTTGTCGAGGAGCGTGCAAAGGGGTGCTTAAAGACTCCTTCTGCAACTGTGCCACAGTGATGCTTCCGTGAAGAGGAGTTCCGACGCTTGATCCTGGCAGATGGCATGGACTCAGTCTCTTGAAAGCAGTACCAGCTGGTGTTTCACAAGTGTTCCAGAAAAGCTCTGCTTGTGGATGCTTGTGGCGTAGGAGTGCCGGAGGTCTACATCTCATCGCTGTGCGGTCGCTTCTTGCCTCTCTGGCTTGTTACGCTGCGGTCGTCCGCCCATGTCCGCCCATGTGTAGTTGAGAGCTCTTTGGCTGCTATTTAACAAAAGGGCATGCGAGGGCCACTTTTGGCAAGCTTCCTCCTTGAGCATCTCTTCCAAAGGTATTTAAAAATTTGCACATGCTGATTCAATCTTTAGTTCAGAAACTTCAGTTCTGACGTTCTGCAGTTTCTGAGCTATTCGTTTCAACTCAGAGACTGTGCTTTGAGCTCCATTCTGGACCAGGCAGCGTTTTAAGCAACCTGTGGCCGCCATTATCGACAGCAAGCCGGCAGAATTCTTGCGGAGGCTCCTGGCGGACACTGTGTCATCTCTCACCATTTGTCAATTGGCCTGCTGACCTCTCTAAACTTCCTCCCGATGCATTTGAGGATGTTTCGAGGTCAGAGACTGGAAAGCGTTGTCATGTGACCAATGCCTCGCAAGGCATCCGGATATCTTCGTAATGACCGGCGGCGGAAACGTGGGCCTTCGTGAGGTGGTTGCGGTTCGCTGTGTGTTATCGCAGTCATCGCTCATCTCTAGAGTCACGCACGCCCTGTAGTGATCGCGCTTGGCTCTGCAGATAACGATGTGTGTGTCTGTGTGCACGCCCGGACATTGTGCCATGTAAATTCATCAGCACAAGGGCTGGGACATGTGCATCGGTCGCCCACCGAAGCGGGCCTTTGACGAGATTTTGAATGGGGGATAGGTCGGACCTGACCTACACGATCGGTACGTCAGATGTCTTCAATTGTTGTGGCAAACGCGCTTGCTTGTTGATCTTGTTGTAGTGACAGGGTCACAAAGAATCAATTCAGGCATGACCACTTTGAAGGGACGCACTAAAGACAAAAGCACCTCTTTCCGATCGTTTCCCAGTTTCCCAAATCACCTTATGCCTGTTTCCGAGTCCCAGCGTTTTCAGTGGCATGAGGAACCCCCGTTTTGTTACACTGGTGCGCCCTTTGGGCTCGGGGGCTGCAACTCAGCAGCCCCCCAAACAAAGCACAAGAACTACTAACACAACATAACACAACCCTAAGCCCCTAACCTAACCCCTAAAGCCAAAGCCCCGAAGCCCCTAAACCCCAACGCCCCGAAAGCCCCCAAAAACCTAAAGCCTGAAGCCCCTCCCCCTAAACCCCTATAGCAACCAAAGCCTACAGGCTATGAACCTTGTTCTGTTACCCGCTTGCACGCAGTCCGCCCTGGCTTTGCAACCCTTAAAGTAAGGCTTTGAGACTTAGCCTCAAAGCTTTTTGGGCGTCTTTCTGGTGACTTTAAGGGGGGGAGGGGCCTTGTCATAGTCAATGGGGGCGTAAGGGGAGGCATGAAACTTTCGGTTGCGGCTTACTGTACGGGTTTGCCGCGTCGGGACACGTGCGAATCTTGCCCATATAGCCCATCAGCCGCGGGCTTCCTGAAGCCCTTCAGCTCCTAAAGCCCCTAAGCCCCTGACGCCCCTCAAGGCCCTAAAGCCTTTAAAGCCTTTAAAGCCTCCAAAGCCTCTAAAGCCTCCAAAACCCTGAAGTCCGTAAACCCGAACGCCCCTAAAGCCCCTTAAAGCGCCTAAAACCCCAAAGCCCCGATTTTGTTTTTCTAGTGTTCCCCGAGTGCGCGTGGTGGGCTCTAAGCGCTGAGTCTTGAAGGCTTAGAGCAAAACCCCGAATCCCTCGTGACACCTTGTGGCGGGGCTTTGAAGGGAGCTCCCACGCCGGTTATTTCTTACGAACCGCGTGTTTTTGAAACATGCGGCTAACCTTTTGAACCGCGCCTGCTCGCGCACCCCAGGCACCTCATTTCATGCAGACTGGTTTGTTTTTGGGTCTTTCAACTGTGGCACTGGTTCCCAACGCACCTCATTTAGTACAAAACGTGTTGTTTTTGACCAGGCGTGTATAGGTTTGCTCGTCCCTTGCGCAAAGCCTTGGTTGTCCATTTCGTACTGGTTTTTCTGTATTGAATTGCATCAAATGAAGGGCAAGACCTTCCTGGTCATTCCCAAGGGGGATGCTTGCGCTGCGGGTAGCCGCCAGATCGAAAAGTGTGGAAACGGCCACCGGTAATCAATGCTCGTCCCTTGCTGGGTTGTCCGGGAATCCCTGCAGCCCCACAAGGGACTCGAAGCGCAGATCCTGCGCCCACCCACAAAAACGTTCCAGATGACCGTTCTCCGTGCTTTCAAAAGGTAGGGGTTTCCGTGCTGTTCGTGCAACCCAGGATCAGCAGGCTGCCAAGACTGATCGCAATGCAGGGTGCGGCATTCCTGTCAGGTTTTGGGGCCAGATGCTGTTTCAGTGCTGTTTGTGCCCCAGACCTTCTTCATCTGGCAGAAGTAGCAGAATCTGGTTAAATTTTCAGCGCAAACGTCAGAGCTGGGATTCGGGATTTGGTTTGGTCCCAGGCCTCCAGCCACACGTACAAAGCCAACAGCCCAAGTGGAGGCGCCTGGAATGCAAAATGGAGCAGAAATATGCATTCACAACGATGCATGATGAATTCTGAATCAGCGTTAAATTTAATGTCGATGCCCATCTTAGTCATTTTTCAAGAGGCCGGGGCATTTCATGCAGCGCTGACGGAGAAGGAGCCAACGAAACCTCACCGACAATCTGCTTCACGTTGCTTCGTTACAGGACCTCCGTGACCTAGAGCACGGCACCCTTGGTCAAGAGGCCTCCCAGGCGAGAAAGCGGAATGTCAGGGAAGATTCGAGTCTCTACGTGAACAGCTAGCTGCCAGGGCATGCAAGCATGATCGAGCGTGTGACTGCAGGCTTTCATGGCTGCGCTGGAGGTCATTCGTTCTGAGCTGCAAGAGGTCGCAGCATGAGCCTTTGCCGGCAGTGCAAGTGTCAGCTGCCTCCTAACAGCTAACATCTTGTAAAAGGTGTCTTTCCTGGCCGTTGATCGCGTCGTTGTTGGAGGTGTGCTGATGCAATGTGTAGCTATTGTATAGCTTCATGTAGCTTCATGTAGCCACCATTAGGCTGAGAATTGCCTGTGCCTCTCGGTGACGCCCGTAGGCCCTGCCGGCCATGGGCTTCATCCTAGCCATGGTGCCGAGATTGTTGTATTTGTCAGGCAGCCTGTGCTCTTTGAGACAGTAGGCAGAGTAGGCAGTCGGCATAGGCCACAGAACTTCACAGGCAGTTGCCGTTCAACAACTTTTCGCAGTGGCTGCCGCACATCGTGGAGACTCTGACTTCGGTTCTGCTCATAGCCTTTTCCCGAACATGGCAGTGATTGCATGAAGATACATGATATCAATGATATCCAGATACTTCCAGCAAAATTCCTTGGAGATAGCAGGCCGCCTGATGGATCCTAGCACCTGGGAGGTTCTGCAGCTGCAGGTGCAGCTGGCCCACAAAGCAGTGAATGTCGAGGCGCAGTGAGGCGCATCTGTGAAGAGCTCTGAGCTGTTGCTCCTGTATCCGCTCCAGGCAGTCAAAGATCGTGTACGCTTCGATCTCTGCTCAGAACATGGAGAAGCCCCAATAGAGGCTAAGTGGACACGTCTGGACAGGAATAGGTATATCAAGTGTCAACATCATGGGGTAGCATATGAAGCCACACTGCAAGATGCCATCGACCGTGTGGAAGGTCTTCTTGTCGCCCATCTTCAAGAACCGTGCACACCTGATGGAGTACCCCGTGTGCAGTTTTCGTGGGGATCCAGTATCTTATGCTACAGCTTCATAATCTGTCATGATGATCATCACGCCGCGCGTGTCATTTTCGTTAGTAGAAGAAACATGAAGTTTCAGGTGTCTTCGGGATTCGCATCCGGCCGAGCGCTTTTACTTCTATCCTGCTATGGTCTGCGAGCGGAACGAGCTCATGGCAGGGCAAAGTGCGGATGCGAAGGCGCTCCTCCCGTAGGGTTTTGTGGCTGTTTGTGGTTGCACAAGGGGGCATTGCGGCCTGAGTCTGCAGGCCATTATGAATTTGATGCTGCGGTGGGTGTCCCTGCAACCTTGGTCCAGTGTACGTTGCTTAGCAGTTCGCTGCCATTTCCTGCCACAAGTTTCTGCGAGGGTGTCACCATGCAGGCACTGGTGCGACCGGCACGGTGGCTTGTGCAGCCTCACGCTTACAGATGTGCTCGGCGAGTCTTTGAATGTCTTTGAATGTCTTTGAGCATGTTTGCAAGTTCAGGCTGCTGGTGCTGCGTAGTAGCAGATGGAGGCTCCAGATCGATCGAGCACGAGTGGTGGCATCAGTCTTGCAAAGTCTCGCAGATCTGCATGTGGTCAAGGCGCCGCCAATCTGTTCCTTGATCGCTCTGCCCCTTAACCAGCTCAAGCCCGGATGCAATCGGATGCAGTTGTGTGTGGATTATGCGACAGGAGTTGTGGGAAGACACAGAGACGTCGTCTTTTTACGGCACTGGAGATATCTGGAAGCCCCTGCTTGGGCAGAGGCCTCTACTCATGGAGCGGTTCTTAGCATTTCTTAGCTCATTTGATCTCATGTAGCTTCCCAGATGCTTGCGGAGCATCTTTCCAAATGAGGACCCGATCAATCCCTTCTGCAATCTCCTTGACGGCACCGACCCAATATGGATTCGATTGCTTCTTGTGAAGACTCTTCTAAGTCGATTCCGAAGCAGATGCCAAGGCTTCGATTGCCGCGAGCTGATGAGGCATGCTCGGACGCCTATGGGTTGGAAAGTCTTCAGCTGTCATGCGCTTAGCTGGACAACTGGAGATGAGCCCTGCACGACTTGATGCCATGGCTGTTGTCAGTGCATGAGCCGGATGTAGATGATGTCGCTCAGGTCAGTCCCGCAATACATCACTTCAGGAATAGGCAGTGTTGGTTATGTGATGTTGTGTGGCAGGGTCGCGGAACTCGCGTTTGCATTCATGTAGGTTCTGACGTGGCGCTGTCCTATTCGGGCTGCTGCTCCGGCTTCTCCAGGTCTTGAGTCGCGGGAGCCTTGAGAAAAGTATGTCGAGGAATGCCGTTATTTTTTTCAATGTAGCTGTAAGCTGCTGTAGCACCATGTGTCCAGATCACTCCTTTCACATGTTTCACCATGCCAAAGCTATCCAAAGATGTTAGCCGACCTGCGCATGCATCGCTTCCCTCTCTCGCTGGAAACAAAAACGCTGAGTCCTGCTGCGAGGTGTGTGCAGTTTGGCATGCGGACAGTGTACAGTGCATTCGTGCCAGCACTGCGTAGTGGCGTAGTAGGGCATCGGCATTTATCATGCCTGGACCCACCATGAAACAGCAGCTGTGGATCAAGAGAATCGCTCTCTGGGGTCTGCTCTGTCTTCGCAAGAATGGGCTGCGGGGCATCCTCCGTACTCGGCCCAGTCTTGTCTTGGCTGCTTGCTGCAAATTCTGTTGGGTCCGTTGGGTTTGTTGCTTCTAAGGATCCCCCGTACGTTCCTCATCAAGCTCCAGAAGATCCAAAAGCCAACGTGGGAGCTAAGCACGAGGAAGTCAAGGTATCGGGTGGCGCTGGCTTCACTGTGGCGCAGCAAGCTTTCCGAACACGTGAAGGTGAGTGAGTAGCTCCCGACATACACACACAACACAGCATACAAAGTTTCCCTTGATTTTCTCTCCTGCCGGGTAGCTTGGAAGTACATTCCTCCGTGGATGTTTCACGTTCCGTGCCGTTGCGTGCCGTTGCATTCGTGCATGTTGAAGGATGTTGCAGGATGTTGAAGGATGTTGAAGGATGTTGAAGGATGTTGAAGGATGTTGAACGGGGTGCTTCCGTAACATGGGGCCGTGCTGTGAAGCCCTCAGGTGATCCCGTTCGGCCTAAAGGCCCTGGATTCTTGCCTTTCGTACGCTTCGACACCGCAGCAGTCCCGCCACAAATCAAGGGCGGCGATCATATATACCTGGTTTTTACGTATTCGGAGGCCGCCATCGAAGGCAAAGAAGATGGGACTGTGGCAGCTGAGGACAAGGAGCTGAAAGGCTCGTGCATCTTTCGTGTTTGGCGAAAAGATGGAACCAATGCTGTTTGCCAAGATGGTGATGATATCTTCTTCGAGCATGTGGACACGGGGAAGTACTTAGAAGGAGCTACTGACACCAAACCGCTATGCTTGGCGGATAAGGATGAGAACTCCTCTGGACAGCTTTTTGGGTTCTTCAAGCAAGGTCGGCCCATGGAAATGAGACACCGTGACACCGTGTACCTGCAAACATGGTTACACAACTACGTCGAGTACAGGTACTTCGAGGACAGCAACTTGTATGCCAAGCGATGGCAGCGACGGGAGCCGCAGACCCTGACTGTTCTCAAAAAGGCGGTACTGGACTCGTCCACCACGGAGGTTGCCCGGAAATTCCAGTTCCAAGCCTTTGATCTTGATGGCAACGGGACAATCAGCAAGAGCGAGATTGACATGATGGTGACGCTTGTCAGAGGCGCGGAGCCAAGCGTAGAGGAAATAGAGGAGATCATGGTCAAGGCGGATCCTGCTCCTCGTGCTGAACACACACACATGTACACACACCACATCTGGTTGCGTTAGACCCATCCCATAGAGGGGAGCCAGGAAGCAATGACAGCAAAGCGCATGCTGCCTTTGCATTTTTTGTTTTCTGAGGCCCACACAGGAAACATTCCTTTTCAAACCTTTGCAGCCTGGGCCGATGGTGGCGGCATGTCCGAAGAAGAACTCAACCATGCCGAGGTGCTGGGAAACTCGGGTCCAATTTCAGGCAATGTTTATCAGAATTTTCAGCTGTGGCACGTACCACGATTCAAGCCCATGTAAGGAAATGTCGCGCAGAGATGCTACGATGCTTTGCACGAAGAGTCGTGTCTCGTTGAGGCGTTGAAGTCTTCGCACTGTAAAGGTTAAAGTGGTCCTTATGCCGTATGCTGGATGTGCTGTGCATGTGTGCAGGTCCTGGGCACCATCGATGGCATGACCGTCCAAGGCATGGTGGGTCAGTATGCAGAGAACCTCAAAGCAGGACCTTTCTGGGTTTTTCTGCGGTGAGTAGAGAGGAAGGCGAGGAAGGAAGAGAAGGATGTAGGAAAGGCATGTGTGTGTGTGTGAAGGCGTGTATGCGCCAGGAAGTGTCAGCGAGAGGATTGTGGAAAAAGCAGCAGCTGAGTGCGATGCTCAGTTCTGCTTGTGCCTTGGTTCAGGGAGGTTTGAGCTCCAAGGTCGGATGGCTGGTTCTTTTCAGGAAACTGGAAGAATTGCATGAAGGCCTTGCTGGAACCGGAAGTTGACCTTTGGGTCCGCTGCCTGAACGATGCGATGAAGGGCTGGGGCACTGACGAGAATTCCTTGACGGCCCTGGTTTGCACCATTCCAGAGCGGCTGCGCATTCCCATCTTCCTGAAGTATTACGAGACGGTCGGGAAAGGCCTCCTGGAACATATCGAGAGCGAAACCTCCTTCAGCTACAAGAAGGCAAGACACTTCTGCGTGGCAAACGTGATCAGTTTGATTGGTGCAACCGGAGTAAAATGAAGTCTTCCACCTATTGTGCTCGTTGTCTCGTATTCTACACTTGCAGATGCTAGCACCAAGTTACCACTTCCTTGCGAACCTCGTGTTAAGAGCCGTGACATCAGGGAGGGGTTGTCTCACAAACACCGGCAAGCGGAGGCCGAAGCAGGCTGAAAGGAGAGGCAGCAAGATAGTGATAGTCCAAGATCGCTGAATCATTTTAGTCGGACCGCCCCCTCCTGCCCCCCCCAACCCCCCACCCCTCGCCGCCCCCCCTCCATGCTTCTGCCAACACAACGCGAGCTTGTGAGCTTGTGCTCGCCCCCTCAAGTGTGCCAAAGTCAGGAGGTCTACACATTTTGCACAAAGCTGGTTCCTCAGGTCAACATCCCTAGGAACCTCCCTGGAAACTCGCACACACACACACACCTACTGCTGAGGGCGGCACGAAAACCCAGGAGCCCCAGCGAACTGCTGCCCAAGTAATCAGAACGGCAGGAGGTCGAATACTCCATGCGGCGGCGCATACTTGTGACAGGGTTGAGGGACTTCTGAGTGTGCGAACTGTTCTGTGATGTTACGCTCTGTTGGCATCATTTGGCATCATGTGGCATCATTTGGCATCATGTGGCATCCCTTTTTCGCCTTCCAGGTGATGACGTGGCAGGCAATGGCCCCCGAGGATTGTCGTGCCAAAATCTTAAACAAGGCCATGGTCGGCTTGGGAACGGCTGAAGATCAGCTGATCCGAGTTATTTGCCAGCTGAACTTTGGCGAGCGCAGGGAGGTCAAAGAAGCCTATCAGCGCATGTACAACCGAGATTTGCTCGAGCACATTAAGTCCGAGACATCGGGGGACTTTCAGAAAGCATTGCTTGTGATGCTGGAGGCTCGGTGTCGGGGGTTCCCCCTGCTGTTGACGAGTCCTCATTAGATCTTCTCAGTCGTCGCAAGAGGATCAGGTATCCCCGGACCCTACCCCCCCGCGCCACTTCCCTGCCTTCTGCCCGTCCTCCACATCTCCTTCAACCCCCGGTTCAGCCGCTTAAGAACACTACGCGCAACCCTACAGCCAAAGGGGGTGCACCTTTGAGCCATGTTCCTAGGATTCTGTTAGGTCGACAGCGCGTGCATGATAGCACGCGTTTCCTAGATGCAGTGTGAAATCGTGAAATGCAGGCGGAAGAAGCGGCTTTTGATCTAGAAGCGGACTGCGCGGCCATGAAAGAGGCTCGCGCCCTCGAAGGCCTTTCAGAGGCATGTCCCATCATGTTGTCAGGCTATGGAAGGATGGGGAACTGATGAGATGACCCTTACCCGTATGATTTGCAACAAGACGTGACTGGCTCAGAGTGCACAAGTTCACAGATCAAAGTCTAGTCCGAATTTCCAGCCCATCAACCTGGACCTGCAAACTCTTCTCTACTTTGACTCCCCGCCTGAAGACATGGGCCATTGTAGTGCATTTGAAAGGTCGAAGCAAATGGAGGACGTGAATGCCAAGTTCAAAGAACTCTATGACAGGCAGGTGCCCATGAGTGGAACAGCTCGTCAGCTTAGCTGTGACATCTTGCAGGGATCTGCTGGAGTGGGTCAAGAGTGAGACCAGCGGCTACTACAAAGACACGCGACCGATCTGCAAAATCAGCAGGGGATCCAAAGAGAGTCAAAGCGGCTCAGGCCAAAGCAGAGCAGAGCAAGGCAAAGTTGAGCAAAGCAAGGCAGAGCAAACCGGACCAAAACCAAGGGAGGCAGACCAAGGCCAAGCAAAGGGCACGCTGTTGTGTCGTGGTTCGAGTTGTTACTAGGGGCGAATAGAGGCTCTAAAGTGGGCCCTAAGGAGGTCCATAGAGGTGAAGAAGGAAACAAAGAGACGCAAAGCAACGCTTCCAGTGCTCGTGGGCACCTTGAAGCATCGCCTGCCTTGCTCTGCCTCGCTTTGCCTTGGTCTGCTTCGCGTTTGCCTCGTTTTGTCTTGTTCTTCCCGGAGTCTGCCCTTCCTCTGCCTGGCTTCGCCTTACATAAAGCTCTCCTTTGCCTCGCTCAAAACACTTTGCTGGCGCCTTTGAGGTTGATTGGGTGCATCCGGCATCCCATGAAGCAGCTGGCTCACTCTGTGAGGGACTGCATGAAAGGATGGGGCACTGATGATGAGGGGCTCATCACCTGCCTGGTACATCTGGAGGATTTCAAGAAGGCTGCCCTAATCAAAGAGTACAAAGCCGAGTTTGGACGTGACATCTTTGCAGACATCAAGGCCGACACCAGTGGTGCCTACGAGAAGGCCCTTTGCGACCTCGTGAAGCCAGCTCCGCAGGTTTGGGCGGAGTCCTTGACGAGCGCCATGAAGGGCTTGGGCACAGCAGATGCTTTGCTGATCAACTTCATGGTCCTCGCCAAGGATGACATGATGGAGGTCAGGACGCACTTCCACAAGCAAAATGGCAAGATGCTCGAAGATTGGATCGAATCAGAGACCAGTGGCGATTACAAGAACACCCTTCTTATGCTGGCAGGACGCAACAGCGAGGAGACCACATAGCCTTGTCCCCTCAGAGTGAACACTATGCAAAAGCCGGAAGGTCTCGAATGGCAACTTTTGCTGTCATTGTTCGATGTTGTTCCCTCTTGTGCCTTGTCACTGCCTTGCGTTCTCAGTCTGAAGTCCGAGTTGTTTCGGCGATCAGGAGACCATCAGCATTGCCCCTGTTTACTGGGCGCAACGCTGCAAGGATGCTCTGTTCAATGCGGCCCGGTTTACAGCAATTGTGCGCAGTTGTGCTCGACCTTTGCTGATGGTCATGGAGGTCCATTGTGAGCTGAGGTAGACACCGTGAAAGAGGTTCTGGTTTCGATGCCTGCCACTGCCATCAAGCGGCACACGCAGCTGTACGAGGCAGTGTATGGTGCGTCCTTGAAAGAAGAGGCCGGCATTTTTCCGGTGGGTCCTGAACGATTGCCCTTTGTTCTTAGTCCCATTCGTAAACACCGATGGGTGCAGTGGACATCAGACTCTGTCCTGCGTGGCTGACAGTAGTAGTGGAGGTGGAGAAGAAGTGCAACGAGAAGGGGACGTTCTTCTTCTTTACCAATTGGTGGAAGCATGCGATGATGTCTCTCTTGTATATGCCAGTCGAGCTGTACGTACAGCTCTCAGTTCCGTCTGTTCACAGTGATGTAGAAGTTGCTGTCGGTCGATTGGGCCCCCAAGCGCTGAGAACCCACATTCGTTTGAGGTCAAGGGGCTCTGGGATGCCATGCACGGCTGGGGCACCGATGAGTACACCCTCACGGGCTTGGCCATATGGCTGAAGAAAATAGTACTGAGTTCCCTACCCCAACAGCCTTCTGGTAGAAGTTCTCAGAGGATTTTGCGGTACCTCGAAATGTGCGCGAGGTGTGCACCCTGCCTGAGAACCTTTATGACGAGATCCATAACCTCTACGAGAAGACGCACCAGAGGCCGCACAGCATGATCTGAGTGACATGATTTCAGGGCTGCATGGGCTGAACTGATCCGTTTCGGACGTACTCAAGAGTTCTGTCGGAAAGGAAGCTGGTAAATCACATCGAATCAGAGACGTCGTTCAACTACAAGAAGGTCCTGAAGTTCCAGGCCTCCACATTCTCTGCTCGCGAGTGCATTTGAGCGACTGAAGCCCTAACCCGCCAAGCCCTAGGCTAAGAGTAGTCTAAGGTTTGAACCATGGGCTCGTAGCGTGGTTTATAGGGGCCCGAATTCTGGGGCCTTATTGTATGCAGTGAATACAAGGGTTATATAAACATGGACCCAAGTTAAGGGCCTATACTCCGGATCCCGTGTGCAAAAAGCCGAGTTCTTGAGGCCATGCCGTGGGCTGAGAGTCGGGCAACCGCTCTCCACGGTGCGATGGCTGGTTGGGGAACTTCCGAAGACCAGCTTGTTCGCATCGTCATCTGTTCCACATTCAAGGCAGCTTTCGGGGAAATTTAGGGAGGGGCTCTACAGGCTCTACATCTGCCATGGCCTTGTGATGCCTTGTGCAGGAGCGAGAGGTCATCAAGCAAACGTACAAGAAGATGCTTCCTGCCACGCATGCGATCCGTGTCTCTCCGCGTGCGCTCTCTTGGCTTAGCATGTGTACGCAGCCCAGGGCAAACCCAGAACAGCCCAACGCTTCCACTGAGGTTCAACAGAGACCTGATTCAGCACATTGAGTCGGAGACAAGTGGAAATTTGAAGAACATCTTGGTGGCTGTGCTGAAGTGCACGCACCCCAAGGCGTCGGTTGATTATGACAAGGACTGCGAGAACCTGAAGAAGGCCATGGATGGAATCGGGACCAACGAAAAGGCAATCATTCAGATTGTTGCAGGCAAGACGCCCCAACAGATTGAAACTCTCAAGGAGAAGTTTCAGGAGAAGTTTGGCGAAGACCTCTTTGCGAGAATCGATAATGAAACCTGGGACTGGGGCATGAGCATGTTTATGACTCCCAACTTCCGGGCCTGCATGCTGGGATTGATGAGGTCACCCTCAGAACGGCTCGCGTGTGCAGTCCGGGATTGCATTGTCGGTTGGGGCACCGACGACACAGGTCTCATCACCTTGCTCGTCCATCTCTCCGAGCGACAACGCCGGGATCTTGTGGAGAAGTACAAGGAGATCAAGAACGGCGGTGACCTTTACAAGGCCATCGAAGGCGACACAAGTGGTGACTACAAGCGTGCACTGCTTGCACTGGTGAAGCCTCCTTGCCAAGTCTGGGCGGAAGCCCTGCTGTCCTCGATGAAGGGTTTGGGAACGTCGGACAATTTGCTGATCAATTGGATGTGCATTGCAAAGGAGCGAATGGATGAGGTCCGAACCCACTTCACGGAGTTGGACGCTCGTGGCTTGCCCGCGTGGATCTCCAACGAGTGTGGGGACAGCGACTACAAGGAGCTTTCCGGTGTTAAAGCGCATCAAAGCAACCCAATGTTTCCGACAGACTAGAGTCTTATAGTCTTATTTTCTCACTAACAGTCTTACGCCTTACGTGGTTCTGTGGATCTCCCTGAGGACACGTTGATACGGCTGGCGAATCGACGATGCGAGCGCTTCGCGGGCCAGGAGGTTGGCCTCAGCATCGCGCCGCCACAGACGAAGGAGGATGCAGCTTCGCGGGCCCGAATAATCTTGGGATAGGGCAGGATGCAGGTGTCCGCTCTTGTTTTCTTCCATGTCTGTGGTGGTGCTTGCAAGTCATTTGGGCTTCTTGCTACTTGCTGTGTGACCGGCTGAGATTCTCAAATTCACTACGACATTCAACAAGCTCTGCAAGCTTCGCCGAGAGAAGGGCGACAACGTTATTCCCGGTGAGGAGGACCAGCAGGACCCAAGCTTCATCCGCTCTGTGCACAGGGTTTGTCTAAGCTTGCCGAGCCTTGTAGTTAGTGGTTTTATTTGGATATGGAAGGCCATGGGGAATGCCTTCTTGTATTATGGCTCGTTGTCGAGCTGCGCGCCGAACCTCGACATTCCAGGATTGTGGGACTTGACAAATGCCTGTGGTTTTCCACCTGGAGATGATGGTCCAGACTTGGTGGCAACTTTTCATGAGTGGGACGTCAGCGGCACGGGCGAGATTACCTGGAATGATTTCGTAAGGGAGATGACGACGCGAATCAACGATCCGGGGCACTACAATGCCGATCCTCTACCAGAGACGATTGACATGATCTCAATTCCAGACAAGCCGCTAGGTGATGGCTACAAGAGCCACATCAATAATTTCAATGCTTCCGACGCAGGCTACGAAGAGTACGATGGCGATGCGGGAGCACCGCCTGCACCAGCCCCTCCAGCCGTCGACATGTATGCAGCCTTTACAGACGGAAGCTGGAAAGATTTGCTTGCCGGTGTGCAGCCCGAGTGTGATGGTGAAGGCCTACCACGTGAAGTTGTAGGACAGTGATGGACAGTGGCAGTTGTGTGTACCAGATGGTGTTAGTGTGTGTTAGTAGTCTTGGACAGCGTAGCCCTAGCACTGCACAATCCATTGCAGCTCTGGGAGGCCTACTTGCTGGGTCTGTCACTTACAATCAGTGCGCTGCTTGTGTTGCTGGGCAGCGACGCAGACTAACGAGCACTCAGGCTCTGGGGAGAGTGTATCGCAGTTGCCGTGCGGGTGGAGTGCACAGAGGACTGGTTCATGCTGACTACCAAGTCCAAGCTGCTTTCTCAAGCTAAGTAGAGAGGAGGGGTTTTCAAACGAAGCATCTGTCCCGCAGTGAGAAACAGATCGGAACCAAATTGTGTGGGGGCCCCGTCCTTGAAACAACCAAGCATGAGACTGGATTGGACTTCCTTTTGCGCGTATGCCACTCCTGAAGACAGAATAGAACAAGTAAGTGGATAGGTAGACATACATATATATATATATATACATATACTGACCCCAGCAGGAATAGAACAAGTGGATAGGTAGACATACATATATATATTTTAAGGGGCTGCGCCCATGGGCGGGCAGCGCACGCAGAAGCCCGGGGCGAGCAGTTTCTAAGCATGTTGAGGCCCCTAAACTCCCTTAAAATCTCTAAGCGTTAAGTTTCTAAGCATTTTCAGGCCCCTAAGCGTTTGAGGCTCCTAGACTCCCTTAACGTTTCTAAGCACTTTATAAGGCCCCTAAACTCCCTTTTTCCTAGCCCCGGGCTTATATGCCACCCTTTGGGGGGCATCATGCTCCTGATGCGCCCCCGGGGTCCCGCCCCGGGAGCCGCTGATGCTCCTGATGCGCGCCTGGGGGTCCCGGGCTGGACCCGCTGATGCTCATGATGCGCGCCCTCTGGGGGCCTCCGTGGCGACGCAAAAAACCACGAAAAAAAAACCGTTCACCGGCGGCACGCGGGGGTCGGCGGCACTGGCGTCCGGCCTAATTCTGCTTCGCAGAAGGCCAGAGGCCAGCAAGGCTATTCCCGGGACGACCCGGGCTAAAAGGTCCGCATTTGCTCGGTCCTTTGAGGACCTCGCGCTGCCCGATTTAATGGCTGCCGCCAGTGCCGCCGACCCCTTGGAGGCAAACGCCCAAGCTGCCCAAACCCTATCCCTTCGGTTACCCCCCCCCCCCTTCTCCTGCTCAACTCTGGGAGATAATGCCTCTGCTCTAAGCCCCGAAACCGTAAACCTTGGTTCTGAGTTCTGAAACGGTATATGTAAGGCCGTGGACAAACTAGGTGGGAGTAGCAACCCTTGCATTTTGAGCCCTAAACCCTAAACCCGAAACTCCTCAGGGTGGGGGGGGTTGGGGGGGTGGGGGGGGTTGGGGGGGGGGGGGTGGGCGGGGTTGGGGGGGGGGGGGGGGGGTGGGGGGGGGGAGGGGGGGGGGGGGGGGGGGGGGGTGGGGGGTGGGCTGGGGGGGGGTGGGGTGGGGGTGTGGGGGGGGGGGTGGGGGGGGGTGGGGGGGGTGGGGGGGGGGGGGGGGGTGGGGGGGGGGTGTTGGGGGGGGTGTGGGGGGGGGTGGGGGGGGGTGGGGGGGGGGTGGGGGGGGTGGGGGGGGGGGTGGGGGGGGTGGGGGTGGGGGGGGTGGGGTGGGGGGTGGGAAGGGGCGGGTGGGAAGGGCGGAGCAAACGGAGCGGGCGGAGCAAGCGGGCATGCACTGGACCCTTTAAAGTCAGTCATCTGATCATCTGATCCAGTCTAGAGAGGGGAGGAGGATGGAGTGGAATGGTGTGTCGGGCATGCGCTGGAGGGGAAGGGGAAGAGGTTGCGGTGAGGGCAGGGGTAGGGGAGGGGGATGGAGTGGAATGGTTGGGAAGGGGTGGTGGGGAGCGGGGTTGGTGGTGGGGGGGGGAGGGGGGAGGTAAGTTGGAGAAGGGTGAGGAAGGTTGGGAGGGGAAGTGGGAGGAGGGGCAGGGAAGGGGTTGGATTGGGGGGTACGGTGAGAGGGTGGGGAGCGGGGGGCAGGGGTTGGTGGGAGGAGGAGGTAAGTGGCTGGAGAAGGGGGGGGGGGGGGGGGGGTGGGGGGGGGGGGGGGGGGCGGGGGGGGGGGTGGGGGGGGGGGGGGGGGGGGGGGGGGGCGGGGGGGGGGGTGGGTGGGGGGGGGAGGGGTGGAGCAAACGGAGGAGCGGAGTGGGCGGGAAAGTCAGTCACCGAATCGAGTGGGGGGGGGGGGTTGGGGGCATGCGCTGGAGCCCTTTAAAGCATCTGATCCAGTCTAGAGAGGAATGGTTGGGAAGGGGAAGGGTAGTGGGAGGGCAAGGAAGCGGTTAGTGGTGGTGGGAGTGGGGGGGAGGGGGGTAGGTAGGTGGAGATGAGGTCAGTGCCTGGAGAAGGGTGGATTGGGAAAGTCAAAAGATGAGGTAAGTGGCTGGAGAAGGGTGGATTGGGGGTGGGGAAGGGGGGGAGGAGGATGGAGTGGAATGCTTGGGAAGGGGAAGGGTAGTGGGAGGGGGGGCAGGTAGTAACGGTGAGGGGCGGGCAAGGGGTTGGTGGTGGGTGGATTGGGGGTACGGTGAGAGGGGGGGCATGGGGAAGGGGTAGGGGAGGGGGATGGAGTGGAATGGTTGGGAAAGGGAGGGGGGGCAGGAGAAGGGGTTGGTGGGGGTTACGGGCAGAGGCAAGGCCAAGTGGAGAGGCGGAGTGGAATGGTTGGGAAGGGGAAGGGGGAAGAGGTTGCGGTGAGGGCAGGGAGGGTCTTCACTGACGCCGCCCCGCTGTTGCTGGGGTCGGCGGATATACATATTACTGACCCCAGCAGGTTCAGATGAGCGTTGGTAATAAAGCAGATGCTTGCATGTTAGAAGTGCCTGGATTAGGCTGCACGCGCAGCGAGCAAGTCGGGCAACATTGTACAATCATTGAGCCTCATGGATAGGTTTAATGTTGCACTTTTTCTTTAATATGTGATTTCGCAGGCAGCGGGAGCATAAACAACGGCATGCTAAGCTCCTTTGCGCTGGAAAAGGCCAGTTGCAAAACATGCTGTGCCAGGACTGGCAGGGGCGTTTTCCAGATGCTCCTGTTGGACTGGTTCCTGGGTATTGAAATTATTGATGCATCTTTACGTTGCCATCGCGGAGACCATTGCAGCTTACGCGTTTGCGTCTTTTGAGTCACTGTTCCAAGGTGATCGACCACTTGTGCTCGGTCGGTCACGAAGGGTTCGCCGGGCAGGCAGAGGCAAAAGAGCAGGCCGGAAAGGGTTTTGCGTGGGCAATTTCATACAGTGTCATACAGCGCAGCCAGGCTTTGTGCATCAATACGCTAGACAGTTTTGCCTGTAGTGATGTCGGCACGGTTCGCTGTGAGGCCTGCAAAGCAGCTTTGTAAGTGGCGCATTGCCTAATACAGGCAGACCACGAGCAACACGGACGTTTCACCTACGTTTCACCGTACCGACGAAGTCTGGCATTTGCTTTTTATGGAAGCAGTGGACTAGCACAGGTGGATCCGACCCAAATTGATTTCATGAGACTGCTGCAAGGATCCGAACCTGAGGCCTTTGTCGCCATGTGCGCACCTCACCGACGCGCACGGTTGGGAGTCTCAACTACTTTAGTCCGCCAAAATTGGCAGTCTGGATGCGGAAAGTTTTGAAAAATGAACTTGATGTGTACTTGGAGCGAAGATTCCTCGAGCATGGGGGCAGGGCCCTGGTGGAGACTTGTTCAACCTTTGCAGCCATGCAGAGAAATAGGTTTGCGACGTGTCAGGTTTGTTGGGAGGGTAAGAAGCATCCTCAGTTTTCAATCCTCATGTCCACTGGCTATGCGGTTAATCGTTGCTTCACGAAGTCTAAACAAGAATGTCAGTTTTCAAAAATCATAGTAAATTAATTCATCATGCAAGCCGTCTCTCCTCTGCTTGTGCAGCGGAGGGGTGACAGGCATCACTCGATTGAGCCAAGCTTGTCGCAAAGCGACCCTTGGCTTCATAGACCAGTGCCGCGACTCGGGCATCGCGTTTGGCACACTCCGGCGTGGCATTGGAGGTTGTCGGCATCTTTGCTGGCGGTTGGCTTAACTTACCCGCGCGTTTCCCGATCCGGCTGTCGGTTCCGGCGAGCAACCGCAGAGAAGGCCGGAGATGCTGAATTCTGAGAACTGAAGCATCCATGAGGTCCTTTGGTCCTTGAGGTTCAGGCCAAAAACTCCCTAAATATCGTCATAACTTGTGCATGTCGTTGCCTTGCAAGGCTTTTGCGGCGCCGGTGGATCGGTGCCCTAGCGGCACGTGGGGAAGAAGCAAGGAAGCCGTGATACAACGATGAGACAACGGATGAATATGAATGAATATTTCAAGTGAATGTTGTCTCAAGCGATCGGTTTGTTGAACTTTTGTTCAGTTTGAGATCAATGACATGAGTCATTTATGTGACGTCTAGCCCGTTTGGCCGAGGCTTGTTTCCCGCTTCAATAACTCCTTCGTCCTCTGGCTGGCTGTCGTGACACTAGTTTCTGTCACCCGTCCGGAGCAGCTTGGCTGTACTATGAGACCAGGAAGGTTTTGCGGGTGCGCATCGTTTCCAGCCCAGGTCGTTCGACTGGGTGAATCAGGAATGGTTTACATGGCTACTCGGCGTCCTAATGTTCAGTGTGGGCTTCTTGGTTGCAATTTCTTGACGGATGCCTTTAGCGGCCTTTGTCTTCTTGAGCCTGAGCAGAGACTTTGGGAGAAGGTCTGACCACATCCATTGACGATTTTCGTTCGAGCATCAGAAACTGGCTTGCAGTGGTCGTGGGCTGAGCCGACTGATATTTCCTGTTGGCTCATGCCTTTGCAAAGCCAGGTCATTAATGCAGCTGCTTGCTTCGTGCTCATGCCGGTCACGGACTTATGATTGCTGAACCATGTCTCTCGTGGATGCGATCTCAGTTGTCAGGCCCTGGCATATTCCTTGGCGCTGCTGATTAGGCCAGGTGCATATCTGGACTCGTGCAAGATGCATGAAACATTGAACATCGTTGAACCATGTACATGAAAGAATGGGGCTGCCACTCGAAACTGGACGCCCAAGACCCCACCTCACTTTTTGTGATAGGCGGTCCTGACATTGCATTTCTGCTCTATGCCCGTGGGGAGTTGCTCCAGGGCGTCGTGCGTTTCATTCGGCCGGAGCTTCGAGTAGCTGTAGTATAGACACTTTCTGGTTGTGAGCACTGCTTAGCTCGGATACTTGTTTGTCTATGTTATTTGGACGCACAGTGAGAAACTGCAAGTTGGTCGTGGAGTGGGTAGACGGAGTCCACCTCCTGCAGCCTGACCGAGTCCGTACAGTGCGACCCTTTCCGCTGCCAACTCCAATCCTTTTTCTCTATCTCTTGTACTTGTCTTACTTGTCTTACTTGTCTTTCTCACATTTGGCACCTTCAGGTTGCCGGACGCCTTTCCTGGGCCATTTCCCGACCCCCTTGTTCGCTGACCTTGCCTGCTCTCGAGCCTTCCTCCGGTCACCTGAAGTCTGGATCTTACATCTACAATGGGGCTTCCTCGACTTTCTACGACTGCAAGTCCCGTACCGATCTCCGGTTTGCAGCTCTATGACTCTACGAGGATGCTCTTCGTGCGAAAGCATCACGTGCTCCCGAGCTTGTGCGGCCCGAGTGGAGCAGATACATACTCTGACCTTCATATGAGTGGAGCAAGCGGTCCGGCGCAACCAAGTCACCGAAGAGATCAGGTGAGAATCCGATCTCTTTTTTTGAGTACCTGGAAGCTGCCATGCGCCCGCCTCTGAGAACAGCCTGCACTGTCCGCTCTGCCCTGGGGCAAACGCCGGGGAGCAATGCCACTCCCCATGGCTTGCTGGCTTGCGTCACGGCCTGGCCCCTTCGCATATGGCTGCAGCATGCTGCAACCCTGGTTTGCAAACATGCCTCCCTGCGACGGGGCGACGCGCAGCACGCCGAATAGGCTTTCCGACACGGCTTTGCACGGCATTTACTGCCAAGCCAGGACCGCATCACAAAGCCAACCATGCATTGGGCCGGCATCACGCCAGCACGGCGTGGACTGGCCTATGGCTGAAAACCATCTTGCAATGCTGGTCGTTCAGGCATGTCAGTGAAAACTAGCGTGGAACTCGTATTTGACACATCTTAACACCTTCAAGCTGGTACCCGAGGGCGCTGCCCCTTCCGGAGAGTTGTGTTGCATCGGTTCGCAGCAGCACAGCAACTTCAACAAACAGATGTAGGCTACAGTGAAGACAAGTGTTATAAGTTAGATGACATGACTCCTCTTGTACGTTACAAGATCAGTGAGCAAACTTGCTCACCGGCTTGGAGAAACGATCTCAGAAGAACCTTCAGATTTGTTTCTGTCGTAGTGTGGACCATTGTGGACCGCTGCCGACTTTGCCTTCCTGTTGTGTTTGACCAGGGCCGATGCGCCAACTCTGGCTGGTTTGGTTCTGATCGGGTCTATCAATGGCGGCCACACTTCCAACCTGTGCACGCTCATAGTGCTTGGCCTCAGCTGATGTTGCATGGGCTGCTTGCCAGAGCTTACGCTATTGAGTTGCCTCAGCTGCAAGGCGTGCTTGTTTTTGATGCACCTGTCAGGCGAACGGAGACGTGGCCCTCAGCGTTTTGATGACGATGTCCACAACTCTGCTTTGCATTGTGGCGACACCTTTGCTGGTTGCGAGCTGAGTCGAAACGGCGAGAATACTCGTTCGGTCGTCACAGTCGCCCGTGAAGGATGAGAGATGCCCCTTGAGATACACGGAAGAGCCCAGGCAAAACTCCTCCTCGGGACTGTTGTTTCTGTTGATGCTGTGGGGATCATCCAATCGACCGTGAAGGTTCAAGCCTCAGCTGTCTCAACATTGGGCTCTCTGTTCCAAATTCGTCTGACGGATCACGCCCAAGGTTGGATTAAACATGATTAAAGCAAAAGAAGTCAAACCACAATCATAGTGGTGGAGCCAAAGCACAAACTTAACCCCAAAAGGGAAATTAATGGAAGCGATGCCTTGATTTGAAATGGACGATGTCGAGGTTAGTGACATCTTGCAGCAGCTAGTGTGATTTTCCGGCGTCAAGTTGCAAGATGTGGCAAGGTTGTGCTGGCCCCCACCATCTTCGGGCTTGCCTTCAAGCAGTGGCTTCCAACCACCTCGGAGAAGCAAGCCGCCTGGTTTTCAGTGTTCCGAGTGTTTCGAAGCCTTGTCTTCTTCCGCAGGGCGGCCAGATTCACTCCCATCCTGGGCGTGCTCGCAACCTGCGTCATCGCACCGGACCTCAGTTGCATCTCAGCCTGAGAAATTGAATGAAGTTGTGTTTAAATGGCAGCTGTCTTAGAGGTGGGCTCCTCGGTGGCCTCCTGCCGATCCTACATCCTTTCGGCTGGTGCCCAATGGCAGAATGGCAGACCCGAGGGGGCGCCTGAGACGGTCTCGCCATGTTTCGCCTAACCTGTCGAAGGCGTACCACTGCAACTGGCGATCCTGAGCCTTCATCTTCTTGGCGGTTCCTTGCATCAGAGCAACACCACGTATGCAAGGGCTCATAGCTCTTGAGCTTCTCAACAGGCTTGTCGGGCTATGGCCTGGCATCGGTAGCACGGTGGAGACCTCAGCATGTGCTGTTGCACGTGTTTTGGATGGCTGACAGCAACTTCCATTTCAGTCTTAACTTTGGTTGAGATCCCATTCTATCCGAGGTGCGCCATCCATGCATGCCTTGGTTTTGCTAGATCGAACATTTTTCCACTGCAGAAAATATGCGTTGGGGGAACTCAGCAGCTGACATTCACAAACTCGAAACAACCATTGCAGTACTTTGCCTGCAGGATCCAGGCTGGCGCATCCCAAATTGAATGCTGGAAGTCTTTGAACTGCCAGCTTGGAGCTCGAATGACCATTCCATGGTAATTCTTTCAACTGCTTCTTTGGAACCCGAGCTGCTTGATTTCATTGGAAGTCATCAACCTGAAGCCTCTAGCTAAAACCCCCAAGTTGCTGTTGCGCTTGTTTGACTTGTCCCATCCCGTTCTCTGACTCGGTCTTGCTTGATTTCTGACTCGGCGTTCTTTGTGACTCAGTGCACGCTGATCACCCATCGGTTCGTCCGTATGAAATTTCAGATGAAAGAATGATTTTTCAAAGGATGCAGAGAGGCAGACTTAGTTTTTAAACACATGCTAGACAAAGCCGGCCAGCCCGGCCGAGGCGGCCTTAGGCGCTTTCGAACCAGTGCTCGAACACACATCATTCACTGGATTCACTACGTTATACTACATTGACTCTCGTTGATGGCCTGTTGAGTCTTCGTGTTGCTCTCAGGTTGAACACGGCAGCTTGTCGAACGGTAGCTATCGAAACATCCATGAAGAGCAGTGCCTGAGGCTCAGAAGATTCAGAGCCAAAAGACACAAGTAGATCTCAACGCATTTCAGTTCATGTTCAAAAGCCGTCATGGCTGCAGAGTGTTAGGCTGTGGGCTACTTGTTAGCTGTGCTCCATTTCCAAAACTTCCTGGCCACTGGCTCAGCCTTGGCTCGCGGCGCTCCCTTTCAGAAGCGTGCTTTGATGCGACTTGTGATCCTTCCTTGGCATGTTTGAGGTCCGTGTTCCTGCTGCGGTAAGTGTCGCCATTGCCTCGGCCAGCAATACGACATCTTGCAGCCCCTGGAATGGCAGCCTTTGCAGGCTACGGAGATTCGGTAGAGCGTTGGCACCATATCAAGAATGATTTATGATAGTCTAGCGTTTCATCCACGAATAGCCAAATCGTGGGTATTTGTTAAAGGGCTCTGACTGAATTTGAACAGATGGTGTGTATATATATATATATGTACACATAAGCAGCATGATGTAACACGGGCAAGCTGCAGCGCTCTAAGGTGTGGAGTGCTGCAGTGGGCAGCGCTTTCGCAGCGTTCTGGGGCAGATCGAGCATCAAACCAGAAAAGTCGAAGGACAGTGGCTAGAGAAACCTTTCGTTTCCAATCACAAGCATTCCAGCTTTCCGATTGTTTCCTCTTTCTGCTTATGGTCCAGTGAAACACCAGCGCCTGCGTGAGCTTCAAGATGGTGCTGTTGCGAGACAGAGTCCATACTTTCATGCTCAGATTGCTTGGCACTGACTTGGCTCAATAGGAGCCGGGATCGTGGGTGCTTTTGTGAGTCCGCAAGCAATCACGAGTATTCACTAGTCACCGAGTCACTGCACCTCCGCAGCAGTGAAGCTTTCGAGCATAGGGTGCCAATTTAGACATGGCGTGAGCCGGGGCGAAGGAGCTTCCAAGCCTATGCAGTTTGAGAGTTGCAGAGAGTGCGCAAAAACTCGAGAGACATGAGAGACAAGAAGCTCCGACATGTTGCGAGACATGTTGCGAAGTGCCACGGAGCAGCTCCAGGATGCCCTACTTCTCTCCATCGCGGTCGAGGAGCAGCCGAGCAATCTGAACATCTACGAATGTGGCTATCTCTGGGCTCAAGGCTTACATGTACCCCCCCCCCCCCCCCCCCCCCCAAGTAAGCCCCGCTGGCATGGCGCACCTCGCCCCTTTGTTAGCAACTCCGGGCTGTTTCCACACACACGCACACGCACACGCACACGCACACACGCACATGCGTGCGTGCTGTCCTGTGATGATAATCCGTTTCGTTTCCAGATTCCTGGTTTCTACGACTGTCTTGAGGTGCGCTTCGGACATCTTAAGAAAGTGGTCATGATTTTGGATTCTTCACTTTCGAAGTTTTGGTGAAATGGCCTCAGTTCCTACATTGTCCAAAGTTCTAGAGTTTTTGAAGCTTGACAACTTTAAGGAACTTGTAGAAATTTTGGAATTTCCGTGGGATTGGCGCGGCTCCAGTCCCGAAATTCAGGGACTTTGAAGTTTTAGGACTTTTTGTAAAGGCCGAAATTTGAGGAACCTGGGTAAAAGCCAAAACTCCTTGGTTGGGGAGGGGGTGGGGGCGTGTTGGAGGGGGGTCGGGATGGGATACATCGCACACTTATGAAGCAGGAGCCGCAGTGATCGAAGAGGAGGAGGTCGAGACCGGCGCAGGCAATCGATGATTCAGCACTTCTGCCATACTCGGCCCTGCAAGTTGCCCCCCCAAATGGCAACACCATGACTTTGCCCGTGGTTTCCATGGTAGCTCGGGCCTGGGAGTGGTGTCGAGATGGATTGAGGTCTCCATCTTTCAGAGCACGTCGTGGTGACTCGCGACAGTTTCTTGGCTCGAGTTGTCATGCGTGTTAAGCTTTGGTGGCCGATGTTTGACCGCTTCACAATTTGCACTCTACGAATCTCTCAGCAGGCCGCGTGCAGAGGGCTCAGGCAGCAGGTGCGATGCCATCATCTTAGTTTGATCGGCCGTTGCCGCTTCATCGCAGCGTAGGACGAACAGTGACAGAAGATCTCCTTTGCCTCGGGACCCGAAGAGCCAGTTCAGCATGTGAGCACAGGTTGTCACAGGCTACTGGCTAGATGCAAAAATTGAAAAGAGGAGCCCAGATCTGCTTCCGGGGCCACCAGCGAGGATACCTGCACTAGAGTGCCATGTTGCTGAAGCCTGGGAATTGGAAGTGGAGGATCCCGGTTCCAAAGAAAGTCGAGCCGACAACTCCGAATCGAAAGGCACAGGAATGGGTTTCCGAGATTCTTGAGAATTGAATATAATTGAATCCTCCACTGCAAAGCAGGAGATGGTGGCGATGTGGAAACAAAAGTTGTCGAGGGCATTGTGACCCGAGCAGGGGTCCACACCTTGGTCGGCCTTGTGACAGAAGACCTGTCAGTGACCTGTCTTGTCATTCTCTCGTCGTGTCTCTGGGAATTTGAGGCGCAGACATACCTTTCGGAAATCTATGTGCCACGCTTGCCTCCGTTAAGACCTGGCACTATATGTGTCAGAGGACAATGTTCGCCCTCGCAGTGTCGTACGAGGTATGTAAGTTGTGTAATTCAGCTAATTCATTGCATTCACGTATTTCATGACCTTCAAGGACCCCTCCGTTTTGAGAGGGACATTGCTGAAGACGATTGTCACCGGCTTGCCAAAGCTCATGCAGAGGGTGGCTACAAGAAGGACTGACATGGACTGACCACAGCTACGGAGAGAAGCTTCCATATGCACAGGTCACGACGGTCACATGAAGTCACATGTGTCTGTGTCTTTGGGGCAGGTGCAAGAGGTGCGAAACACTCTGCGCGCAGAAGCCCGCTGAAAGTGGCAGTAGGTGTTGAGAGTGCTGCCGTGCACTTGCCACGATACCGATTCGCCTGATGCTAGGAGCAATCGTGCAGAATTCACAGAATGTTATGTTTGTTTGTTACCCAATAGCGTGAGATGCCAGCATTACTTCGCGAGCTAGGTAGATTGCAACTTGGCTATCGTTTCACTCGGCCCCTCACGGGCTGTGCCCAGCCAAGCGGCTTTGTTTCCCAATCAAGGCGTGGGGCGAAAGGTCATATGCGAGTGCACTACAGCGCAGTTTTCATGCAATCTTTCTTACGAGGGGCATTGAAGAGGGCCATCTAAACCGCTTTGCCTGCGCGTGCTCTGGCTTCACTTCGCAAGCAGCTGCTTACAGACCACCTGGCGTGCGCTGCCTTTCCTGCCAAGCAGCCAGGCGAATTGGGCTAGGGAAAGCTCTTGAGGGAAAGCTCTTGAGTTGTTGTGAAGGTGTCGTTAGCATCACTGTGTATGTGTATTCGAATGTATATGATGGGTATGCCAGTTTTGTGTAATCTTTGTAAACGAACGATGCATGGCAGTCCCTGTTGTTGAAGATTGCTTCAGGCTCCCAGCCTTACGGCATCAAGAATGCCGTGGTCTTCCATGCAGGCTTCCCTATCCGACGCACCTTGAATTCAAGCGCTTTGCGACAGTGCGACTGTCCCCTGCAGGAAGCATTGCAGGCCTTCAGGCGAGGTGAGTTTGTGATGGTCATGGACAGCGATGATCGCGAGGATCCTCTGCTGTTTGTGTTGATGAGTTGGAGACAGTCATGCTAGCGTACCGGCACTTGCCAGGATGAATGTGACCTCGTTTTTCCTGCAGAGATGGTCACCGTGATGCCCCCAGCCCTGGCCAGCTGCATTGGCCCGTATCAGTATCGGCCATTTCATGACATCATGCCTTGGCAGGCCTCGCAAATGGCGTTTGCAATCCGCCATACAACTGGCATTGTGTGTATAGTTGCAGACAAGGCACAGCACGGTGAACGCCACATTGTGGAGCAGACTCTGCATGCGCATCTTGGTGCCAGGCGAGATTAGAGCATTTCGGGCTTCACCCCGCGACTACCTGAGCATATCCGAGCATGCATAATATCCCGAGCCGGCAGTCTAAGAGGGGGGTTGCTCTTCTTCGGTTTCTTGTGCTCTGGGCATGTATGAACGCTTGCATCCCATGGTTTCACAGCAGATTGGATTCCTGGTGGGGTCTTTTTGGAGCCTCTTGCGTTTGGCCTTGCCTATCGCGGTCCACAGGGCTTTTGCTGACGGCGGAGAACAGCACAAAGTCGGGACCAAGACATGGCAGCTTTATGTTACATATGTTACCACTCAGTTGTTACCAACGAACAAGGTGCAAGTGTTCTTAGTGTTCTTCGGTGGTACCTGATGTACAAAGCTTAACTTGTTGGCATGGCATCGTAGCATGAGCCTCCGAAGTTTCTGGTCTCCTTGGGCTCCGGTTTCAGGGAGCTCCCGTCCGACCCTTTTTCTTCCTGGGGAACTTCCTCCTCTGACTCGTCCTCTCCCTCCTCTCCCTCCTCTCCTCCCTCTCCCCCACCCTCTCCTCGGCAAGGGATGCCGCCTCCGGCAATCGGGTGGCCCGCAGTGCATGGCCGGCGCTGCGAGCGCCGCACGAGCAACCCTTGCAGCCTGGGGATTGGTGAGCCTTTCCCGCAGGTCGCCGAAGCTTGGTGCGTTGCGGGCGCAGCGGGAACCCACAGCCTACTTTGAAAGCCTCAAGATCCAAACCACTGGAGATGTGGTGCGGCACATGGTCCGCGCTACATCGCTATCTGCTGATCTTGTGCGCGGCCCTGGTGGAGTAGGTGAAATCTCACAAGCTGCTTGTAGAGCCGTAGACGAGGCGATCTGTGTTTGCAAGTCTTTCCTTCCAAAAGTACTTCGTGATCAGCGCAGCGTCTCGCGGATACTCAGCTTGCTTTCCGATGCCCTGTCTCTGGCCGGTCAGCCCTCATCTCGTGACGCTTTTGCTGCCCTGGAGAGCCCGCTGGTATCCTTCCATAATGCTGCCCCGCTCGCCATGCGCAAAGCCCTGCAAACCAGATTCGCTGGCATGGCAGAACCTCGGCGTCATTCCCGAATGCACTGAACTCATCAGGTGGGTTGGCTGTGATAGCTGAGAGTGGTCTCTGAATGGCTCGTAGTTGTTGAGTTCTTGGCTTGGGATTCGGTAAGATAGACTTAACAAGTTTGAGTTGCCCAGGGTCAGGAGCCAATTTGGCCCAAAACGGACAGTTTGGGCAATTGCTCCGAAATCCAACAAAAGCCCCAACGTGGCTTGCAACTATGAGCCGACTGCCGCGCTCTGGACCCTTTAACTCCGTGACAGCTCGAAAGTATGCTGCATCACAAGTGCCTCATCTGCAATGGCCAAAACCGTTTTGGTAAAACGCTCGTAATCCCTGTAATTATTCCGATGTCTACTACCATACATTCCTGCTCTATAGCGATTCCTAGCGACTCGGACGCTTAGGTGGCCGACGCCTTGCACTTGCAAATGCAAGGCCCGAAGGTCACCCTTCCACCGATCCCGCAGGGCAGCCTAAATCTCAGAGAACCAGCTCGCACAGCACGGCAGGCTACAGCCACGGCTACAGCCACTGCCGAACCCATCATTGATAGCAAGCCCCAGGCAAAGCGCTCTAACGGGGCCGCCGGTCTTCTATCGATGCTGGCCATTGCAATGGCGACCCTGGTTACTCGGTGGTTTCAGCCTTCAAAGAGAAGTTTGTCTCGGATGCAACGTGCTCGGATGGCACGACGCTTCCTCAGCTACCAGTGGGAGGAGGCTGGGAAGGATGGGCGAGAGATTCGTCTCTATGTTCCCGTGGACGAGACTGTCAAGGAGAAGCACGTGGAGATCGAGCTGACTGAGAGGAAGCTGCGTGTCGGATTGAAGCTGCGAGGGCAAGTGATAGATTCGGACCTCCACGATATTGTGAACCCACATGAGAGCCATTGGTTCATCGACCAACATGAAGGGCAGAGGTGCGTGGCAGTCACCCTTATGAAAAGAGACATTTGGAAGCGATGGACCTTCCTTACATCGAGCGAAGCCACCAGCCACTCGGCAGAGCCATGTTGCTTCGTTCACAACCAGCTCGACTCCGGCCATGGCCCCCCCCCCCCCCAATTCGCACTTCAAACCCAGGCATCCCCCGAGAAAGGAGGAGCGCATGGGATTCGGACAATTGTTGACATGTAGATTGGATGTTCGATTTCCATCCACCTTTTCGACTTAGGCTTGCGAGTCCTGGGCTTTGTCAAGACATTGCTTGTATGTGGTGGCTTCGTGCAGCCCCTATCCAGTGCGCTGAGGGACATGTGCCACATGTGCAGTTAAGGGCACGTGGCTGTGCAGTGTTAGTCCAGTGTACATTTCTTGCTCGTTCTTTGCCTTCAGCACATTCGGCTGCCTATGCCGAGCTGTCCACATGCTACAGTTTCCCTTGTAAATATCATGTTGCCGCCTGCGCACGTGGATCATTGTCATTATCTTCATCCCAGACATGTGGAGTGACCCTTGCCATCTTCTACCCTTTCGAGCGTTCCTGGAATCCACCCTCCAGGGCTGACAGGAACACCTGGACCTGGCACAAACCGGGCACACAGGCATTTGCTGTTTGTTCCCCCCCCTCTTCCCCCCCTTCCCCCCTTCCCCCCCTTCCAACCCTTCCCCCTCTTCCCCCTCTGCCCCCTCTTCCCCCTCTTCCCCCTCTTCCCCCTCTTCCCCCTCTTCCAGCGCATGTCGCTCATGTGTTCCTGGCCGCTATCGGTTCTTTGTCGCCTCCTGCGGATTTGAAGCCTGTCCGGCCTTAACCAGGCTTGGGACTCGCACTGAGGTTTTGTTTCTTCAAAGGCAGCTACTTGTGGGAGCCATCTAGCGCAAGCCAGCCAGTCGGCAGCTCAGTGAGTCAGATGAGTCGAGCTAGCTGGCATCATAGTATGGTATTACGCAGACAGCGGAGCGACAATAAGGCGCTTGCTAATGTCAGATTGGACCGTGGGACTGGAACGAAATACGATCTACGGACGACTGGGGGGCTTTGTGGTGACTCGGCGATAGAAATAAGTTTTTCTTGCCCCGCACAACGTCAAAGAGATGTCGTGGATTTCAGCGGTGCTGAGTAGAGCCGAGGCTCCTGACGGTATCTGAAGCCTTGTCATTATTTGAGTCATTTCCGTCATGAAGCTCAGTCCACTTTCAGCGGAAGCAGGCATAGGGGGACGCAGCGCCAAAAAAGTGATGTCTTTTTTTCCTTGCCTGACCGGATGTGAATTTCCCGTTCGGTCATGTAATGGAGCGTTGCCTGCTGATGTGCACTTAACGAACTTTCTGTGACTATCGACATGTCGTCATTCATGGCATTGTCTTGTGTGGCAGACTCTGATGCTGTGCTTCTGCGTGGTTCCGCTAGCATGCAAGCAAGACTAAGATTCGCTTGCATGCGGTTTCGATTTTAAGTCGCATGTTATCAGTTTATCTCAGCATATCCTCTGGTCACAAAGCGGTTGCTCCCAAAATATATTGTCATTGTTGGTTCATGGCCCATAGATTGCCATAGATATCTCCAGCTCCATGTTTCCACTTTCAATTGGGTACAACGTGGCGGGCTCTTCGCCCCCGAAGAGGGGCCTGCCCGACCCAGGCTCAGTCAATTTAGCTGCTTTTGGGCTGCTTTTGGCAGAGGGCAAAGCTCCACTCTACTTCAGACCTGAGTGTTGCCCACGCTTTTGCTGCCAACAAATTTCTTTGCTCTGTTTCGCACAAAGTCTTGCAGTGGGGACTCGGTCTGGCAGTTAGCTGTTGAGGTGGCGGTGAGAGGCATTTTGCTTCATCCCCAACTCAAACCATGATTCCCTCATTTTTTGTGTGGCATCTGCGGATCATTCCACTGTCAAGATGCCATTCTGACAAGGATGCCTGAAGCATCGGTAGCAGGCGTGAGCGTCTCAGTGCGGGAGTGCCTTGAGGGCATGCCCCCAGAAAGCGACCATCAACAGATACCAACTGCAGGTCGCCGGAGCCAGGGAAGCACACATCTTGCTCTTACAAGGCTAGCAAGTAGATTCTTGCAGAGTTCAAGGTCTGTGTTGCGTCTTGGTATCGTGGCATCGATTATTGTGTTGAAGCTGCAAGCTTTTGGCTTCCCTCTACCACAGTGGCTTTCGCAAGCCAGAGAGAGACCTGGAAAAGCAAAGGAAAACAAGGCTCCTGCAGCTGTGACGCTGTGGGAGTCCTCGACGAAGTAAGTTCGCTCACGCTACCTGGAGTCACCGGTGAAATCTCCCACAGTTTAGAACTCACATGTCTCTCACATGTCTCTCCTTGATGCAAGGAGAAGCTTGTCGCACGCGATGCCCCAGAGGAGGCGCATCCACTTGGCATCTCCCTGGAGGCTTTGGGCACAGCAATCCGTGGCCCAGGTGCAACAGCTTGCAGTTCGAAAGAAAGCAAATAATTCTCCAGCTAGATCCCACTACACGTTCTTAATGTTCTTAGAGGCCATGCGCCAGTCAGGCAATGTGTCGAAGTGGAAGCCGCCGGAGATTCTGCAGCTGAGATCTCAAAGCCGGTGGAAGATGCCAAGCGAGGTGCGCAGGATGGTCCTGGCGCGTGATGAAGAGACGTGTTGGTATTGCGGCGCCTGCGGGGACGACATTGACATCACCGTGGATCACTGGATTCCGCTATGTCGAGGTGGTACAAACAAGACTGTAAACTTGGTCTGCGCCTGCAGCGAATGCAATGAGCTCAAAGGCAATCTCATGCCCGACGAATTCCTTGCAATACATGGTACGAAAAATTGCAGAGCGCGGGTTCGGAGTTTGTGTCGCATGCTCTATTTCAGCAGTGGGCAGTCCCTTGCAAGCCTACAGCAAACACCCCAGGCCACACAGAGAAACACGGATGCCAACGCCACAAACTTCTATGTTTCCACGGCCAGGGGCTCGGCCGGGCCAACTTACAACTTCTCATCGGGAATGCCCGAAGGCTGAATCGCTCAGGACTTCTTGCCCGCGACTTCGACGGGTGTGTCTGCGTCAGACCGCGCTGTTACTGCTCGAGCATCCCGGCAGAGCACGATTGAACATCTCTTCCGCGCTCTTGGAAGTCCTGTAAGAATGCCGCACATGCCGCACGCCAAGGCGATGTGCGACATAAACAATCGAGCAGAGGCCACGCGCAGAGCCGTCAGTAGACTCAGTAGAAGGTTGCAGAGAATGGTCTGTAGAATTTGTGAACTGCCGCATGTGCTGTACATCACGTTCTTTGCTTGTTCTGCCAGGACTTCTCCAAGCCAGGCCACCTCTTCCCTCTTTGTGCCCGGCCTGGCGGGGTGCTCGAACGTCCAGGCGCCCTCCGGCAACAGCCGGGCTTTTTACACGCACAACCCCCATCCTCCAGGCACCATGGCCCAGACCTTGCAGTCAGAACTTCGAAGGCCTCCAAACTCTTAGGCTAGAGGTCCCTTCAGGCCCTTGCTGTTAGAGTGCAGTATGGCTGCGGCTGGCAGCTATTCACGCACATCTCCTTATGAAGATACCCGCGCGCGTGTGGCGTGCGGGCTGCGCGGGCTGCGCGGGCTGGCGGGTGGGCTTGCATGCATGCGTAGGTACGTAGGTACGTGGGTGCGTATGGCGTAGGCGCGTAGGTGCGTAGGTGCGTACAGGTGCGTATAGGAGTGCGTAGGTGCGTAGGCGCGTAGGCGCGTAGGTGCGTAGGTGCGTAGGTGCCTATGTGCCTAGGTGCTTGTGTGCCTGTTTGCCGGTGTGCCTAAGTGCCTGTGTGCCTGTGTGCCTGATTGCCTGTGTGCCTGTGTGCCTGTGTGCCCGTGCGCGTGCACGCGTGCGCGCGCATTAGTTGTAACAAAGCGCGTTCTTGGCCAAGCGCGCGCCCGCGCGTCATTATTATGGTGTCCCCGAATGATATCACAGGCTTCTTCGTTGGTACTGACGCGCGACACGGCAGTAAGAGTAATGGGGAAGAAACAAAGGAAGGAAAAAGAGGGGGAGCTGGTTTGTTTGACCTGGATGCCTGCTTTTCTTTCGCCTAGAATCTAGGTTATATAATTAGCTTTCGTTGTCCTCGGCTAGCCTCTCAAGTATGTAATCTACCATTTCATTTTCTCATGATTCACACAGAGTTATTGTAATCGCTTGCGTGCGCCGCCTCGGCAGCCGGGCCGGCCCACGGACAAGAAAGGAGGAACCTCAAAAAAAGGGAGGGCAGGGCCTGCAGGGCGCCCAACAAAAAGGTTCCAGGCGTTTGCGTCTCATCAGGGCTCCCAAAAGGGCCCAAGGGGGGGTCCCAGGTCGGGGGGGGTCCCAGGGGGGTCCCACATTCCAGACGGTCCCAGCAACAGGGAAAAGTCCCATTTTGGATGGGGGAAGGGTTGGGTTAGGGAGAAGGAGGCCCGATCCGGGTCTGCTTGTTCCAGACGCTTCTCGGCAGGAAGCCGAGGCGAATAAACGATTTTGCATTCAAGAATGATTTTAAAGGCACCATGGCCTCTGGTTAGCACGCTCGAAACGCGCGCGAACCTCGCAAGTCACCTGGCTTAATATATGCCTTCGTCCTCTCAAAACGCGCCCGAAACCTCGCAAATCACCTCGCTGAACGTGCAATTGGCTACTGGGAATGTGCCCGAAACCCTGCAAATCCCCTGGCTTCATCCGCACAGATCCGGGAAAACGTTCTATGCACACCAGTACATATGTACATATATATATATATATGTATAATGTATATATATATATAGATGTATATTCTTCTGTTAAAAATGTTTGGAGAACTTGCTTCAGACTTCTTTCCCACTCTCTGTCTCACATTGTTTGGTTTCCTTTGTTTACCACGTTTTCATGTCTTCCGATGTGTTCATGCTTGTGTTGCCGTGCGCTTTACGTTTTGGATGGGTCTTTTCGGTTATCTCCCCGCACATGGTCCCTGTTGTCGCATGCACTTTGTTTTGTAAGCGCAACTGATGCAACTTCGGTAGTCCTTGGCAACTTGGCAGGACACACGGAGTCTACCTTTGACTTCTGCCGCCTCGCTGGCCTGACGCCCGTGGGCCTCCTTGCAGAGCTGGTGCCTTCAGAGCTCGCACAGTTTTTTTGTGCATCTTCTCGCTTTCCATGAGTTTTCGCTGATCTGAACTGACAGCAACCCTTGGCATGATGTTTTTGCTTTTTGCAGATGCACGATGATGGCACCATGTATCGTCGGGATGACAGCCTGGCCTTTGCTAGCGCGAACAACATTCCCATTGCCTGGACCTCAGCCCTTTTTGCTTCTGTGGCTGCCATTGCTAAGCGGCAAGGTGACTGTGGAGCAAATCATCGAATTCCGACAGAAGCACGGGACAAGAGCCCCTGCATCTCTGTTCGGCGAGAAGGCTGGAGTTCTTCACATGAGTCTCATGGTTTGTGCTTCGATCGTGTTGCGATTCTTCGATTCTTGCGATTTCGGTCGTGTCCGCAGCTCTGCCTGATTCCTTTTCTGATCTCTTGTGCTGCAGGCAGGATTGGCTGCAACCGGCAGTGCAAGCTCGAGTGTCGTGGCATCTACGTGCGATGCGAGGCAGCGCTCTGAAACTCAGCCCTGTCCAGTGAATACCGGAGGGCATGCGGCTCGTGGGGGTTTGCAAGGTGCGACGTGGCTCTGAAGGCAAAGCTTTAATGGCCCAGCCAGGCGCATCGTTGATTGGGGCTGATGTTTGATGTGTTTGTTCTGTCTGTTGATAGTTGTTGTGTGCTATGTGCGACTTGGTGTGAGACATTCGGCTGTCTGTTGCGCAGGGTTCTAATTGCACCATCGGTGACCTCTCTAAACGTTGTGTTGTCGGCTACTGTGTCCTTGGCAGCCACAGTAGGACCTTGCACGCCGCCTACACAGAAGCGTGTCATTAAGTGACAGCAGAGAGTTTTTAGACAGCGTGTTAATTTGGCTCGCATCACGGCATAAAGCTTTGGTTTCATTTGGGCTTCGCACTTCACCAACTCCATCAATTCCTTGGAGGTCCTTCAGATCCGCGGGAGTTTCACCTCAGCGAGTCATCAAGCCAAGCCTTCCTGGATGTTCCATCTCGGAAGATTTGGCTGAAGCGGCTTGTGATTTTCTACACGTGTCCTGATGCCACGTTCGCAACCGTTCGACACGGTCGTACATCAAGAAACACCTGGAACCCTCTTTCTGTGCAAGTTTTTTGTTGCCTGAAACCAAACCGAGCAGCGCCCGTGTCATTGCGTCAGTGCCAAGTAAGCGGAGTGGGCAAATGCCCACTTCCCAAGTTTTGGCGAAAGCCTCTCGACCAGCAAGCGCGTGTGAGAAAACAGCTCCGACGCAGAAACTCCGCATGCAATGCCTGGTCCATAGTGGGTGACACGACACCTATCGACATAGCGTATCAATCACCGCACGCAGCATGACACAGCATCACACAACATGATTGCAACCCAGTGACATCAGGATCTTGGGTCCTGGCGTCAGTCGAGTATCTTCACAGCATGGATGGAGCGCACTCGCTAGAATCCGATGGAAGTGCCCTTTTGGGCGCCGGCCACAAGCCGTGGTCCAGCTGGGTGTTTGCGGAATCAGCCTGCAATCTGGTTACTGCGACCCGGAGGACTCTCGCTTCTTTGACAGGCTGGAAAGCTGGCAAACGAACACTTGCAGAGTCCACACTGGTGGTGAATCACTTTGCGGCCCTGTGACGGGACCAGCCCTTCATCCGGTTCATGGCCTTGCTGGCCGAGCACTGGCGTGTGTCTGGTAGCTAGTGACAGCGTTCTTTTCGGCCATGTGCATCCAACGATTCCTTCAAATGCCTCGCAGCCATCGACGTTGCGCAGATCTGCCCCTTTCTTTTTGGTTTTTCGCCAGCCCCTGAATACCATGGGCTTGTCACGGGGCTTGTCTTGGACGAAGACTTGCAAGTGTATTGCTGGTTCTGGGAGCGCTCAAGTTGCTGGATGACAGCTCTCTCGATGCTCTCTTGCAGATACAAAGAGAAGTGACCCGAAATTGGAGGTCCAACAACATGCGATCTCGCGATCTTGCATCAATCATCGCGGCATACTTAAAGTCGGAAGGTGTCCGTGCACGATCGTGCACGTCAAGATGGATAGAGCCGCTCCTGCCTCAGATGCTCGAGATGATACCCACATGCTCCGCTACGAGCCTTCGCGAGCTTCTGCACGGATTCGCCGTTGCTAACATCTATGACTGGGTGCTCCTAGACGAGTGGTCCGGCCACTTTGCTGCGAAGGCCCAAGCTTTAGGTTGCTGTGCTACCTGCTGTCGTCGTAGGCATGTGAGCGCATGTCTGCTTGTGCTTGCTCTGTATATGCAGGTTACGTTCAGAAATGCGGAAGCTTCCGCGAAAACCGTGGAATCTTCCGTGAAAAACGTACTCACAAACGTGGTTGTCTTGTTGAGTGCATTGAGTGCTCAAGTTGCCCACAGAACCTCAAAGTAGCCATTGGAGCATGATGCACTCCCTGTGGCTTGACGCGCTTGGCCTTGCACTGCTTCAGCTTGCGCGATGCCAAGAGTGTCAGATCAACCTGCTGTCGGGTAACCTCCAGCAGGCAGTGACATGGGGATACCTTTCCAGCGTTGACCAGCCGCTTGCCGGCTGGATCGACGGCCATATTCTGCCTCCAATGTGCTTCTCCAAGAAAAGTCAAGGCGGAAACTTTCCCGGCAGCGCGAAGATCAAGACTCCCACAGGGCCCAAGGCTTTGCAGGATGTTGTCCATGGAGATCTGGTACAGGTCATGCACAGCAACCACACCTTGTCGTTTCAGCCGGTGCACACAATAAGCACTTCGCAGAGCAGTCAGAACTCCTCCATGGTCAAGATCACCACCAGGCGCTCAGACACAGGCGAAGAGAAAACGGTGACAGTAGGAGCACTGCAGCCTTTGCTGGGGTGTCTGTTGCCACCACGCTCGACGTGGCAAGCGCACGAGGCGGAATTCCGGACATACATGGACACATTCGGCGTTGGTGACTCAACCTGGACTTTCGATCAGCTGTTTGAGGAGTACCACAAGTTTTTTGTGGGCGAGTTCAATGATGTTGCGTTCATGGGTCAGCGCTTCATGGCAAAAGTACGCTACGGAGCCGTATATTTCCTTGGGCCAGCAGCAGCTCCTCCTACTGGATTCGATGCAGGCATGCAGGCTTCCATGGACAGGGTTCTGGATGCTGAGGAATGTGTGGAATTTGTGTTCCCTGGAACGGCATTGTTAGGCGCCACCTCTCTACTGCAGGTTGATGCTGCCACTGGCCAGCTCCACCGCGGCTATGTCGTCAAAGTGGAGCCGGTGGTGGAAAGCAGTAACGTCCTTATCCATGCCAATGCAGAGAACTTCCAACTCGTCATCGACGATTTCCTTGTGTCCGAGCTTGCCTTCCTTCCCAAGACCTTTGACTTACACCAGTGGGTGGAAGCGGCCAACGGCACCGACGAGTTTCCCGGGAACCTCTCGACACCCGAGGAAATGTTTTCCTACGCCGCCTCCCTGAGGTCGATCATGGGCATGCTGCGCGTGTCACATGCTTTGTACGAGCGCTTTCCCTTGAGCGTGAAGGTGGCCTGGGACAGGGCGTTGGTGCAGGGCACCAACGATGCAAACTCTTCCCAGCGTTCGAGCCTCATGGAAGCTTTTGAAAGCATGGGAAGCGCGTTGGCTCCGGGAAGCGGGGAGGATTGGAAAGTAAGCTTTGGGGAGCTGACCTTGCAGGAAGTCATGGACATCTATTTCCCGCTTGGGGCAACCCAGTACTTTGTACCTCTCGACCTGCCCTTGGGATTGAACTCTTTGCTCAACGGGGCAAATGACTTCACTGCGAACACTTCCTTCTACGACCTCCTCTCGCCTTTGGCCGGCATAGTCTCAACCATCTCATCCTCACTCTCAACGAGCTCCGGCCCCACCGGCTCCACCGGCTCCAGCGGCTCCAATGATGGCACATCGACCACGAGCGGATCCTCGTTGGATTCAACTTCAACCTCTGCGGCCTCTGTGGGTGAGTCGCCAGACGCACCTGGCATCTCCACCGAAATCATCGCCACAATCGTTGCTTTGGTTGTTGTGCTTGCTGGGGTGGTGGCATGTGTCGCTTACTTCATGTGCTTCAAGAAGAAGCGGCAAAGTGGTCAGGATGCTCAGCGGAGTGAAGTGGCGGTGTAAAGTGTAGTCTCCGTCGTGTTGCACTACAGCGGCCCCAGCATCAAGACCTATGCTGCTTGCGGGGCCTGCCCTCTTTTTTTGACGTTGCCTGTTGAGAAAGCGTCACGCTCGCGTTTCATCTTCCGCTGCGGACCGGCAGCAATGTGCGCACTGATTGCCACGGGAGCTTCTGAAGGAAGCAATGCTCCCAGCTTGGCAGCCTAGATCAAGCTGCAGCCACGAAAAACATGAGAGCTGCAAGTTGACGGCTGCCCTGAGCAGCATGATGTTGCCAGTGACCTGGTGACCTGTTTCCTGTGATGTTGTCTGCTAGCATTGTGCAGGTCGGAGAGCGGCGGTGTGAAGCTTCAGGAGCAGGCGGTGTGTACATTGTTTGCTGTAGTCCCCAGTTCTTTCATCGTTTCGGAAGGAAATCTACAGGAGTTGTGTAATATTTTGCTTCACGGTCTTTGTGGGATGAGGGGTGGTTCGAACTCATGCTCCTGTGTTGTATTTCTTTGTGTATGGTGCAGCCACTGTGACCCTTGCTAACAGATATATTCAAATAGGGTGATATTGTGGCAGGCACGCTGTCTGAAGCCTGTACCTTCAAAAATTGAGAACGGAGCTGGAACACGCGCCAGACTTCACACATGCAACTGAAGCTGCGTGCGAGGAAGAGATTCCTTAATTGAGGCGATGGAGTTGCATCTGCCTGAGAATCCAATTGAAAAAGATGGCCACGAGTTTTTGGCCGATTGGTGGATCCGTGGCCATTGGCGAAAAATTGGCAAAAAACCGTCGTGGCCATTGGCAAAAAAAGCCGTGGCCATTGGCAAAGTTACGCATGAAAATATCCTAAATTATAAGCCCTTACAATATTAATATTATCGCGGCTTCACGAATAAACTTATTGCCGCGTGTACAGATAATAGAACAATAGTACGAAGTGTGTGAAAGAGCGAATATACTGAGCGAGAGAACACAACGAAGTACACACCAGAAAATAAGAAGATAATAATGTAATGTCAAGATACGACCATAAGATAGAAAGTTGTCTACAGGAAATTGACCACCTATCCAAATAAAAGAAAAAAGTGAAAGAAACCAAAAGCACAGATAAAAACCATTAAATCTACTGGACGTCTTAATTTTGAAATAGAATGACATTGAAAGACTTCTCATAAAGTAAAATAGGATGAAGATAGAAGTAAATAAGATAATGAATCCTGCATTTTTATTTGGTACAGCTTTTCACATAGCATATTGGCATAAGAAATACCATTCAGGTACTATATGTAAAGGAGTAAGTAATCTTCATGCTTCTAATGCAGTATCTGGATGTGAGAAAGAAGAGAAGCCGAAATGAATTTGAAGAAGGTATAGATAGAGAACTAATATCTTTCCATAGAAATCTTTACTAATAATGAAAGGAAAAATGCTATTTTATTATTAGTGGAATTCCCCAAAGGATTATTAGAAGATAGAAAATGTAGATTAAAAATATGAAAAAGAAGAACAGCACAAGAAGAAATGGAAATATAAAATGAAGACAAAGAACCTCTTTAATGTTGGATTGTAAACATAATGTCCTCCACAAAGCCATTCTATTAAAGATGGAAATGGAGATAATAAATTTGTAATTACTGTAACTCCTCATAAACTCATTTGTCCTAAAGGTAAAACATAACCCATAAATTCTGTTCCCATTAAGAAGAAGTAAATAATAATTCCAGAAAACCAAGTATTTGGATTATAAAAATATGAATGAAGCATAAGATATAGCTCTTCCAAGATGGAGAAATATAAAAAGAAAGACAAATGATACACCATTAGAATGAAGATAACGTAAACACCATCCATAATATATTTCTCTAATTAAAAAGAAAAGAGAAAAATATGCTGTATTTATATCTGATGTATAATGTAAACCTAAGAAGATTCCTGTTTCCGGACGTACCATCTTGACTTAGAAACCGCCCTTTCACCTTTTTGCCCTATAATTATATTACGGGCGTACATTAAATAAGCTCGCGCATTTAAAGCCCGTATTATAATAATGGGGAAAAGACCCTAGACTTGGAGATGAAGACAGAAGACTCATGCATCTAGTTCCAGCTCCAGCGGTAAGACTCATGAAAAGACGAGAGTTATCCAGACCAGGCGTTAACAGGGTCTCAAGGTAAAACAATTTTCAATGATTTCTGCCGTCTCACTCCTGCACGGCTGTGGAGTTCTCCTCCGTAACGCTGCGCCCTCCAATTGGTCGGAAAGCTGATAAACCGGATGAGCTCGGATAGCTGCGGGTGGTGCAGTATTGCATGCAACATTGGCTTAAGATGTTCCGAAGCAAAGCTTTCTTCAAGGCAGTGGCTGCAGATTTTTTTTGCGCTCCATCGAGGTTGGAGTAGAGGGCAACGACGGGTACTGGGCTGTTGCTTCTTACATCTCCATGTGTAGGCCCGAGACGGCCGCTGGCGCCGCTGCGTCAAGTTCTCCCTGTGTCGCAATTGAGGCAGGGCATGAAAAAATCTTCAGTGTTGAACATTGTTGAGCTTGCTTCTGCGACTGAGTCACTCAGGTGGTTCGAATCTTGCTGTCGCTCCAAGACCAGGCACATGCAGCGCCGCCTTTGCCGGTAGTGCTCGGTAGTGCTCTCTTTGGGTATTCCTGGTATGAAACCATGTTGCAGTAAATTGAAGTAATGCGAGCTCGACGTTTGAGCATGTATCTGGCTTTTCATGGCTTGTCCACAAACCGGGGCGAACCGCAGCCAAGCCGTACTTATGAGTCTTTGACTATCGCAGTCAAGCGATGCCTGGTTTGGGTATTGACCTCAGAGTTGTGCGAATGGATTGGCACCTCGAGTTGACAGTCTGAAGAGTCTGAGTTGTCTGAAGAATGCCGAGGTGCCATTCTCAGCGCCTTCGCGGCTCATGGCTTGCCACCCCCAGATGCTGGTCATGCTGGCCACGATTCAGGAAGCAAGCTCAGCATCAACAAGCCGCAGTATGTAGAAAAGTAAGGCGTGCAAGGGTGTGCAGGGACCACAGGAATAGCTGGGAAGGTGACCCTTGGGGCGGCCTTACGGCCGAGAAGCTCCTTTCCACAATGCCATGGGCCCGGTGATCGCGAACCTGACGTTAGTGGGCCTTCATTCTGTGGAGAGTTGTGGAAACATTGCATCAGGCATCCCAAGATGCAAAAGCTGCTGAAAGCCATGCCAGATGTTCGTCGAGACTACGTGCGTGAACTCGACACAGCGCTAGTCGAGAGCCGCATCTTGCTGGCACTTGAATGGCGCTCGACCCGGAGCCTTTCCCGTAGCTCTCTGCAGCTGAGTTCCCGTTGCCATCTCGACCAGGAAGCTCAAGCAATCCGGATGACATTAAGATGCTGCGAGAGCAGATTGAGGGTGCCATCAAGGCCTCCACGGGTTTTCGGCGAGGACGCGTTAGTTGCAGTACGACAGCGGCGCGTTGACAGGAGATGAATTCTGAGCCTCTTGCCTGCAGAGATGCCATGCATTTTGTTGTTCCTGTGCGCTGTATTCCGCTGAGGATTGGGCAGAATCCAGCGGCCCTGGATGATCTCATGAAAGAAACAGCATCCAAGATGGCTCTGTGTCCTTTCGTGATCGCGCCGCCGAATACCTTGCCGGAGAAGTTTCTTGTCTTGGTGCTAGGTCTGCTAGATTGTGCATCCCAAGCATTGTAGCGTTGCTGTTTCGGCGGCAACAAAAGTCGAGGAAGACTTGGCCTGCACTTGCCTGCTCTGTCCCAGGGCCGGATGCCGGCTGGATCATCGGAAGTTCCTGTGAAACCGAAGGCTGTGTTTCACTCGGTGCTGCGCGCGCGCGCGCAAGATTGCAAGGCGGAGTCGAACTCGAACCGCTTTGAGTGTATATAGCATCCGCTGCGTGAACCTGCACAGCTCAGACAGAGGAACTGACCGGGCGAAAGCGTGATTGGTTCATGGTCGTATTGAAAAAAGCGTTCGGCTGGTCGGCTGGTAGATAGAGAGCAGAACTTCTAGCCCTCTCGCCAAAGCCTGCACAATCAGCTGCTCAAACTCGGCGTGTAATCTTGCTTTCTCACCAGGTCGTCCACTTCGTTCGTTCATGCACTCATCTGATCTGCAGGCAGACGTGTTGCGAATCTGGGCCTTGGTGGGACTCAGGGGAACATGGATGCGCATGCCTTTCGCTGCATGTTGCACCACGCTTTGGTCACTTTGGTCTGCTTCGGTGCGATGTTATAGGACTGGCGCTGCTGGCCATGATAGCCCGAATGCCTCCCAGGCATGCGCTGTGAGTTTTTGTTTGCAAATCAGGAAGTCCTCATCGAACGGCTACCATGCCCGAAATCTCCATAGAAAGTTGGAGTGAGAATAGCACATACAGGTGCAGAGCTAGCGCAAAATTCTTCGATGGGCCGGCACTCAGAGATTCACAGGTATTTTTCTGCAGCGCAGCAATACTACCTGCTGAATGCCAAGGGCCCGGAGGAGCCGGGGAGGTCAACTCGAGTAACTTTTTGATCTGTGCTTCCCATATCGTGGTAGATTTTGCAAGCTGCCAATTTCGCAATTTCCGAGAGCCCAGTAGGATGCCGTGAGGTGGCCTAGAGCTTTCCTTGCAGTCTGTGTATTCCATATGGACCTCCACATTGATGGCCAAGAGCTGTACAAGAAAATCCCGAAGATCCGTCAACGTTGCCTTGGCTTCGTGATTTGCAGCCTCGCAGAGTCGCGGTTCAAGTCGGAGAAAAGGCAGCACTTGAAGATGTCTAGAAACCATAGAAACCAGAGGTTCGCATTAGCTGCCCCTTCGACCAACGCCATTCGGAGTTGCTCAGGAACATTGCTGTGCCGTGTAGTATGCTGCGCAGTAATGCGCACTGTGCAGTATGCATCCCGCGTAGAGTGGCTCAAGAGCTGAAGGGATGGGCCTGAGACGGGGGCATGTCCGTTTCAGGTCTCTCTCCAAATGCACAGGCTCATGCTACTCATGCTTTCATGAGTCAGCTGCAACCCGAGTGTTGCTATCCGAGGCCGTGGGGGTTGCGTCATGCTTTCGGAAGCCGAGGTCGCCGCCATCGTTCAGTCCGCTTCGAGAGCTGCATGAGACTTCCAGCCGGGTCCTCGTTCTCGGTCTCGCTCGCTCTCGCTGAAGCTCTCGCTCGCTCTCGCTCTCGCTCGCTCTCGCTCTCCTCGCCCTCGCTCTCCTCGCTCTCGCTCTCCTCGCTCTCGCTCTCGCTCTCCCCCTCCCTTCCCCTCTCTTCCCCTCTGTTCCCCTCTCTTCTCCCTTCCTTCCCCTCCTAATAAACGTGAAGATTAACAAATGCCTTGATACGGTCGGACCCCAGTGTTTTGGGCTGCTCTCGTTTTTTGGGTGTTGTGGCCTCGTAAGAGGATGACGCAAAAGGTCTTCAAGATGATGTCAAGCCTCCTTGAGGCGAGCCTAAAAGCAACTGTCGAAAGGCGCCTGAGCAGTAAGCATTCATTGACACCGACACTGACATGCACACTCGTATGTCCATGTCTGCCCTGTTCGCATTGTGGCCTGTCTGTGTGCCTCCGAGCAACTCCGTTGCAAGGTTCGGAGAGTCACTCTAGATGCGAGGAGCGAGAGGCTGAAGCGAGTTGGAAGCTGAGTGCCATGTGAGTAACATTTCCCTGCAGATTCGGCCAGTCCACTTTCGATTGAATCAAGGAAGCAGTCATGTTTGAAACGATACCTTTCTTGAGAACTGTATGTGAATGCAGCTTGCTGAGCTGCGAGGTGATCCTGTGCGGCAACAACTTTTTCAGGAGAGAGAGCCTTGCTACGTGGCTGCGCCGTTTGTCCTTCGAAATGTTCATGATGTCCTCATATGTCCTCCCGGAGTCGAATCCGGGTTAACAATGACTCAATAATTTGTTTCCCCAACGGAGCAGACACGACGACACGACCAGGAATTTCGGGTTCATCCTCAGGTATCATGGGGCACGTGTAACAGTGGGGCCTGATTGTGTCTATTTGTGTCCTCGTGTTGCGCCACACCACTCTGGAGCTGGCCCTGCTGCTTTGCACAAGTGTCGGAGGAATCGTGCAACCCCAGGCCGCCCAGCATTGTGCTGTCTAAGGTTCTGCAAGCGTGCAAGTTCTCGTCAACGAAGGGTCTGCGAGCGAAGAGACGGACGAGGACGAACGCATGTGTGTTCAATATTTCAAGACTGGTGCTACCGTGAATTTGATTGAGCTTGAACTCTATGTTATCGCTGGCAAAGCATGTTCAGTACCGCTCGCACTACTGAAATGGAACAATGCACCAATGAGTTCATTTAATTCGCTGAACGTTTGGCACGAGGTTGTGAGTAAGCATGCCTATATCCTGACGTTTTCAACTAAGCTGCACCTGCTATGAAACAATTGAGAACATCCTGTGGACCCGAACAAAAAGCCGGAGTCGTATGGAGCGATGTAACCACCTGTGCAAATTGGAAGTCGGGAGTCTCCTCCACTGCCTCATCGGATCTGATCGGTGGCCGCTGCACCCTGCCCCCAAAGAAGACCACCACTTCCTCGGTCGACGATTCGCCGTCCGTCAGGAAGGCCTCCTCGGTGGTTCGTGCTTGCACAATCCATGTCGCCCGATCACACGAAATAGCGCCTCGACGCCGACTCCTGAAGTTGTCGCTGTTGCAGAAAACATGTCCCGACCAGAAGACTGGGCGATGACTGGGGCGATGGCTGGGGCGGTATCCCCCTTTGGACGAATTCCTGCAGACGTTCTCAGCTTGTAAACATGCCAGCTCGAAGAGTCAACTTCAGCAATTACTAGTGGTAGGTTTATGTCAGCCTAACAGGTTCACGGGTAGTACTCCAGCCGGGAAGTCGTCACGTGCCGCAGGGTTTGGGCTTGCTTTCCCATATCCTCAACATACCTTATATTTCGTCAGACCTGAGTTTTATGGTCTTACAGTGTGCTGTGCACACGGTTTGGGACGTTTTGAGATCATTGTGTTCTAACTCCAAAGCTTCTGATGCATGAAACCTTTGCAAGCATTCCGCTTGCGCGCGCCCAATTGCACAACGCGATTTTCTTTCTAGAAGCGTCGGTCGAGGAGCGCAAGCAGTCAGTTTCTTTTTGCTACATCATCCCTAAGCAACACAATCCCGAAACCACCTTCCCAGCCTCATGTGCCCTCGCAGTTTCGCTATTATGAGCCCACTTGCAAATGCTGTTTTAAAGGCTTCTCAACTCGTTGTGTGCAGCTTCGGTGGCATTTTTGTAAAAGGCGCGAACGCTCAAAGAACCCTGTGCCCCTGCGGTTTGGCTGATGTTGGCTGACAGTACACTGCCTGGAGTGACTTCCCTCATCTGTGTTCCTGTGCTGTGTTCCGCAGGGGTTGGGCTGACTTTACACAGGGTGGGTCGAGACCAACCGGGTGCTCGTAACATCAATGACTTGCTGTCCTCCCACAGGGTGCACACCTTTACACGCAAGGGCTCTGCCTAAGACGCTGCATTTTCTACAGGGTTTGGGGTCACAAATGGCTTCTGCATTTTTGGCTCCTCTCCGCTAAGTTTGATGTTTGAAGAGGTTGCCGTGCCTCAAGAGTGCGCCAAGTTGAAACCGTGCACTTGGCCTCCTGTGTCTTTGCTTTTTCAGGAGGAGGCTGAGGAAGAGGTACCCGAGCACGATCCGAACCAAGAGGAGGCAAATAGTTGTAAACGCTTGCGCGCGCCGCCTCGGCACCCGGGCTGGCCCAACCCGAGGTAAAGAGGCCCGGGAAAGGTCCCGGGCAGGTCCCAGGCAGGTCCCAGGTTGTCAGAGGGGTCCCAGGGGGGTGTAAAGGGGGGTCGGTCCCAGAAGGGGCAAAACGCGTCATTGTGTGGGTTTTTCGTATTCTGGAACCCCTGCAGCATCGGCTTTCGCTTGGTCCCAGGCGGGGGCCACATCCTCTGGGCTGGACGCCGAGGTGAAAGAGGCTGAGGAAGAGGTATCCGAGCACGATCCGAACGAAGAGGAGGCAAATAATCGGGTTGCTGCCAATGGCTCGCGGTTGGATCTTCATATGGAACACATGCCTGACAGTGCCTTGCAAAGCGCACGTGGAGGTCGCCGATCGCCCTGATGACCAAGATGACCATCAGATCGTTGCTGCAGATGGGGGCATCGCACGCAGCTCAGTGTGTTGATGGCTTTGTCAACCAGATGACCAGTTCTCTGATGGAGGCTGAACAGTGGAGCGGCACCCTGCCACCAGAAGCATCCTGCAAATGGGAGGTCTCTGATGAAGTCCCTGGATGGCATGTTTCGTGTGAGCTGCTTTTTGATGGGGAAATCGTTTGCAACGAATGCATTGTGTGGCAATGATAAGGTTTGCTCGCTTTCCTTCTCGGGATCTGACATCAAGCTTCCTCGTTCTGTCTACGACCGGCTATACCACTATCAGCGTCAAGGGGTGGTCTGGATGTGGAATCTCTATCACAAGGGCGCGGGCCTCGGCTCCCTCAGCCACTCGGCTACTCTCGACACCGCTGCTCCGTCGCGGAGGCTTCGGTGGAATTCTTGCCGATGAAATGGGATTGGGCAAGACCGTGCAGACCGCGGCCTTCCTGGCCTGCCTCAAGTTCACGAACCAAGGCCAGCGGCCAGCGCGCTCTTGAGCTCCCGCTATAGTGCCTTGATCAGGATCGCGGTTCCTGGTGGTGGTCCCTGTGACTCTCTTGGAGCAGTGGCGGAGAGAGCTGGACACTTGGGCCGGCTTCTCGGGCGAGTAGAAATTGTAGGAATTGTGTTGAGATTCTGTTTGAGTTGGATCTTGTTGAAAATTTGCAGGCCCAGAACACAGGCCTGGCGGTCCACGTCTTGCACGGCGCAGCGCATGAGCGACGCGCGGCTGTGAAGGGCCACGTGCGGTGCTTTGGAGAGGCGGAGAGGCCGAGGCAGGCATGACACAAACTACACTTGCCAAGGTTTCGAATGGTGGTGTCTTGCTTGTTTCCTACGCCAGCAGCTTAATTGCCCAGTGTCGAAGACGTCTCGCCTCTCGCACTTTGAGTCCCTGGCCGTCTTGCTGAGGATCTGGCCCGCACCTGCATTCAACAGGTTCGTGATGACCTCAGAACTCTCACTTGATTCACTTGATGTCAGTCGTGTACAGGTCTGACATGTGTTCCGGTTTGCAGTCCGTCCTGCCGACTTTGCAGGTACTGCGGGCTTGACAGAAGCCAGCGCATCACAGTCGCGCAAGCGCAAGAGAAACACAAGGTGCGTACCGGCTCATCAGAATCTGCCTTCCGCATAGCACTGCACTTCCCCATCTTCTTGCAGGCGTGCTTGTCGTGACGATGACAGCCCGAGTGAGGATGAGGAGGAGGAGGAGGAGGAGGAAGCTGCACCGTCCCAGACTTGGCAAACCGAAGCGTGTTGTTTTGGGCCAAATATGGCAGGCTAGTTCAAGCAATGTCGAGTACGATGTTTTTGCTAGCTTGAGTGAGATTTTCACACTGGGCAGTGTTTTTGCTATCCAGTGACCACCACGCATAGGCCTGTCGATGCTGAGAACAAGCATGAATCCCAGAGTTGCCAAGCTTATTCATCGCTGTGGGTCCCACTAAAGATGATCGGGGTCGACGTTTCGGTGAGGCCATGGGATGTCCTCATCGTCGACGAGGGGCATCAAATAAAGAATCCATCGAGTCAATCAGGGCGTGTGCTGCGCCGGATCAGTGCGCGATCACGGATCTTGCTCACAGGGCTGGGCTCTCGAGAAGTTGAGTTTGGTGTTCAGCAGTGTTCAAGGAGGTTTCTGACGGGAGCCTATGAGGACCCCGTTGCAGAACAAGCTCAGTGACCTTTGGGCATTGATGGATTTCGCGCTGCTCTGAGTCTTGCATTGTGGAATATTGTGGATTTATCAAGTTGGTCACACTGCGCGCGCACTTAGCGCACTTAGGCTCAGCCTGCTCTGCTGGGAAATCATGCCACGTTCGAGAGGCTGCATCTTGCCACATCCACACGTCCACAATCGTCCACAGCTAGGGCTAGGGCCGGCATATGTCGGCATCCAGCTTTGCGCAGGAATTTCTCGGAACAAATTGCCAAAGGCCGACGAGCTTCGGGAGCCCGTTGCCGTGCTGGCATACCTTTCTGCGAGGCTCGAAGCGGAACGCCTCCCGCTTTGCCGTGGAACTGAAAGATCACCTGGTGCTTGCCTCGATGCACTAGTGATGCACCGCTGGTGCAATCCTTGCGTATACGAATATACTTGCGATTTCTGACTACCACAAGCGAGGCCAGGGAACTGAAGCGGCTCACGGCACCGCATTTCCTGCGGCGCATGAAGTCCGAGGTTGCAAGTGCCTTAATTCGCCACACTTAGAAAGTAGCAGAGAGTCCGAGTTTAAGCTGCTTCCTTCCTCTGCTTCTTCTGCTGCTTCTTGGGATCCAAAACCCTCCGAGGCCGGCACCGCAAGCCCACTGGCAAGCACCGCGAGCAACCTGGACGCTCCAGGTGAGTTGCCGGCAAAGATGGATGTGGTGCTGTCCAGGACTTAGCAGCTAATGGCCGTATATAGCTGTATATAGGTAATATAGGTTGAGAAAAAAGAGCTGTGCTGATGTGGGATGGTATTAGTGGGGGCTAACGGCAGCTAAGGTGGCTCAACCTTACCCCTGCGCAGTTGGAGCTCTACAACCTTTTCCTCACCAGCGAGCTAGTGCTACTCGCCAGGGAGATGAGCAACTGCTGAGGATGACCATGGATGATCATAGATGACCCTTTAGCACGAACATAAGGTGCAAGGCGAGGGGAGGAACAAAATGCGGCATGGAGGCAACGCAAGTCTTTGCCTGCCACGGAATCTATTTCTGGCATCGTGCATCTGCTTTTTGCATCGTGCGTTGCGAGGCATTAAGAGCCATAGCAATGCTGAAGAAGCTGCTGCTTACCTGCAGTGGGCTACTGCTGTGAACCCATGAGCAACGGCCATGCTGGGGCACAAGGTGCGGTCATCCTCTGCTTTGCTTGTTGGTACCTGAGTACAATGGGGCAGATGAACGAAGAAATTCGGTGTAATTTGTGTTGACTTAGCTTGTGATTTTGTTAACAATTGCAATTGCACCAAAACAAGGCCGCAGGACGAGTACAACCAGTGGCGGGTCCGCGGCTGGATCTCACAGTGCTTGCACAGTGCTCTAGCAGTGTTTGGCAGACGATGTATTCAAAAGTAAGCCAAAAAAACAGTTTGGGTTTCCAGTAAATCCCCAAGAACCGACAAACCACAGTTTGCAGATGTTCAAGAAATGTTGCAGTGTGTGAGGGCTCGAACCATGTGACGATGTCCTTACACAAGCGTTGACAGTGGATGCAGTCGGAGTATTTCAGCTTTGTTGTGTGTCGGGAGAAGATCCAGCAGCAGTGTTAGTTATAGGCAGTTTTTCGAAGGGATAGATGAGCTTAGACGAGAGCTAGGGCTCGAGAGATGGGGCCTAGAGAAGTGCAGAAATCATCAGAACGGCTGACGCCGCTGACGCCGCCTCTCCTGTTCTCTGGTGCAGGCTGAGACCCTTCAATCCGGTCGCCCAGATGCTCCAGTTGTGCGACCGACGCCGCACGAAGCGACTCAGGACGGTGTAGGCGTGGGATGGTCTAGGGTTCTGGTACGGTCATGACTTCGCAATCCAGGACGAGTCGGCCACGCAAGAGGCATCGCGTGGCTTCTGCATCTTCTGCCCATGTCTCTGGCAATATCGGCAATTCGTTTACGAGAAATTTTGCAAGTCTGCAGTGCGACATGACCATACAGTCTTTAGTGGGAGTAGCGCAGTCCACACATTCGTGGGTTGCCGGACGCCGAATTGGACCAATGCCACATGGACACTTCGCAGATTTGACAGGACGGCAAACACGCTCGCTTCTGCAGGTGGAAAAGCAACATGTTCTAGTCCGCCCGATGTGGACCTCGAACTGCCAATCCCAAGCGGACGAAGCACGGTCCACCAGGTAAAGCAAGCCTGCAAGCCCCCCATGCGCTGTTGTTAGGAAATGGCTCATGTCTTGTCTGCACTTTGGAACTGAGCCTTCACTTGGCTGTGGACTTGTGAGTACTATCTTCGAGATTCATGCAGCTAGAGCGGGCAGAGGCACCTGAGTGCTTCGAGCTTCTTCCGAGACTTCGTGCATTGCTGACAGGGACTCAGCTACGTCCAGAGGCTGTGAAGAAGCATTTTCAACCCTAAGGACACTCCAAGAACCATGAGGCCCTGAGCGTCCCTCTATGCTTAGACTTTGTGAGCTGCGAGGCCGAACTCGGCCCAGGGTTCCGCCCTGCTCTCCACAAAGCTTCGGGTGCTCTCCGTTCTGCTCCCCCAACTGCAGCGACGAGGCAAGAGCTGCGATTGTAAGTCGAATCTGCCGGAGCAACGTGCAAATTCTTCTTGCGAGTCGAAACGAGGCCATCGCTGCCTGATCTTTTCGCAGAGCGTTCGGATGCTCGACTTGATCCAGGCAGGACTGCGGGGTTCTGTGAAGGCAGACGTGTTCCTGGAGCTTCCGCGATCTGAAGGGCTGCGTGCTGAGAGTCCTGGGTCTCAAGTTCCTGCGCATCGACGGCAGCATCGACCCCAAGGCACATGGCAGATTCGCCGGTGTACGAAGAGTCTCAGACATATCCACTTGCATGCAACATGTAGGACCGCGATGTGAAGCTGCAGAAGTTCCAGCAAGAAGGTTCTCGATACTTCGCTCTGTGTTTGGGCCTTGCCTTTGAATTGTCAACCAGGGATCAGAACAGGTAACGCTGCACGCTGCCATCCGAGGCCTAAGCATGCAAGTGGGTGGCACGGGTCTCTGCGTTACTGGTGCCGACCGGGTCATCTTGGTGGATCCAGCCTGGAACCCTTCTGCTGATGCCCAAGCCATCGATCGTGTCCACCGAATTGGACAGAAGAAAGAGGTGCCAAAAGCTGCCAACGAGAGTTCTTTTTGTGAAAAAGTCAGCTTATAGAAAGTCAGAGTTTAGTTGCATCTGTTAGGTTATTTTGTGTTTTTTGATGGCATTTGTCGTGGTTTTCTAGGTTCAGATATTTAGGATGCTGCAATGCAGGTTGTCGTCTACAGGCTCATCGGCTCTGGAGCAATAGAGGACAAGATGTTTAGACTCCAAATATTCAAAGGAGGCTTGTCCAAGACCTTCATGGAGCATGAGCAGCAAGTTCGGTTCTTTACCCATCAGCAGCCGCACACTCAGCAGTCAAGAAAGACTCCCTCACTCGAGTTGGAGGGGCACGCAGGGTTTGAAAACCATGGAGCTTCGAGGTTGAAGTCGCTCTTCGAGCCACCGAGTCAGCATCTCGTCGTGGAGTTAAAAGGAGTCGGGTGCGTGATGGTATTTGAGATCATGGAACTACAGGAATGCAGATGATTTCGCGCCAGGTCTGCTTCCACGCAGTCCCTGCTCGCCGAGCAAATCGGGACAGAAGCTTTGGAGCACGAGGATCTGCTCCGAGTGGTGTGCTCAGCTGCCAAATGCTAGAAGCTGGTCAGGCAGCAGATCACTGCAGATCAGTGTAGATCAGTGTAGATCACTGTAGATCACTGTAGATCACTGTAGCTTGACGGCAGTCATGAGGCGGCACCGGCACATCCACCCGCAGAGCTGAAGTAGACCCTACCGATCCCTCGATCCCTACCATAAAGGAACGCAATCACGAACCATGGATTCCTGTGACCTGAGGTAGTAGCTGCAGATGTGGGAAGCACGGGAAGCACGGATGATCCACAAGCTCTAGCTTTCTGGCAGAGCTCCGATGTCTTGGGCTTCTCTGACTACCAGCGCCTCTTCATGTTCCTGGAGCAAACAGATTCCGAAGAGCAGGAGGTGAACTGTTGAATCAAGTGAATCAGCACGCTGCAACTGATGCTCACATCGTCGCAGCGTGGCGCATCGAACTATCGGAAGGCAGTCGAGCAGGCAAGAGAGTTGGCTGCGAAGTGCCGCGCGCAGCTTCTTTTTGCCACGCCCTGCTCGTGAGTCCCCGTTAGATGCCTAGATGCAAGGCTCAAAAGCGAAGAGTATGTGAAAGATCAGGTTGCCTGGCTCACTTGACTTGTTGGCTGGTTTTGAGGTTTCTTGTGACCATCAATCAGCCAAGCAGCGTAGTTGACCAACCGAGGTAGTTCAGGGAAAGTGGCGAGGAGATCGCTTTGCCAAAGAGAATGTGTCCGGGTGCTCTGAAGCGTTTTGTGGCAGATTGAGTACCTGTGCACTTGCAGGTCCAGCTTGGAATCAAGCTTATTCCCTCAAAGGGGCACTTCAGAATATTCAACTAAATGCTAAAACAGTGATGTTCTTGACGTTGTTTGAAAGCTTGAGAGTGTGTGGCAATCGTGTTGCCAAGGTCACCTCAAGTATCGGAGCCGCTGAAAAATGCGGACGATCTCCAATGACTCGGCGTTAGCGGTTGCCTGGCCCTGCCTGGCTGCCCAAGATGTAAAGTGCCTGCAGCACATCGTAGCTAGGATTCGTTTGCGAACGCAAACTCACTTTTTGCGGCTGAAGCAAGCGCTTGCTCAGCTGGCAAAGCAGCAATTCGTTGGCCGCACTCTTTTGGCGGCCAACGGACAGAAGACACAGGGTGAATATGAGAGAATGTTATGTACTGCATACGGGTGAAGGTGCGAATCAATGTAATGACCACTAGATACCATGAGTATTGTGGTGACTCGCGTGACCCATAGTGCAGCCAATTGGGGGATTTGGCTCATTGCGTTGGCATTCCACAGGCAATGCAAGAAAAAGGTAGAATCCATGCTTGCATAAAAGCGTTTTGAAGCACGATGAGGTTTTAGCCCTTGGGTTTAGCACTTCGCATCTACGAGGTTGCATCTGCTGTTGGGTAAATAGCGTCTCCACGAGGTTGCGTCGGTTATTGGATCCACGCTGCGACCATCGAAATATTTCATCTTTAAAAAAATACCTGTCAGCATTTGATTGTGCGACCTCAATGATTGGTCGGCAGATTCTACGGGGAACTCCCATTATTCGATTTGATAAAACAAATATCAAAAAATCATAAAAAGATTCTCGGATACATAATTTCAATCGAAAAGGCGAGCTTGGAATACTTTCAGAAATTGTGGCCTCAAATGATATTATATGAGAAGATTCGTATAAAGGAATAGATATTGAGGCATTTGAAATTAAGGGTATATTCAAATTCATTTAATCTTATTTCGAATTATTACGCAAGATTCTAGAAAAAACAATTTAAATTATTATAGTCTATTTTCAAACTATATTATACGTTCAAATTCTTTTCGAAATAAATTGGTTCTTAGATATTTATATAGAGATCTTGAAAATATTTGGATTTTTTAATTGTCTTCATTTCTCTAGGCTTTTACTATATATTAGAGTTGACCCGCTGCTTCTAGCAACGGGGGTTCAAGAAAAAATGAAGAAAATACGGGAGTATAAGCTCAATATCGTTCATGCAGCCGCACCTCAAGCTCATCGCGCACCAGACAACAACAAGCAGCAGTGAGACAGACTGAAATGACTACCATTACGACATCATTGTATGAAGGTCACAAGACAATCAATATCTATAAAGAATATAATCATAGCGCCAACGCCCAAGGCTACCGACCTGCAAACGCGTCGCTCGTATGATACATGATGGCGCCCAAAGCTGCCTACTCTTACACACAATCACCGGGCGCTTGGCAACAAGCATGAAAGGCGGACTCTTTTGCGTAATACTGGCGACACCAGTGGTGAGATAGGCTGAAGCGACTACCACTACGACATCATTAATTGAAAATTACAAATCAATTAATATCCATAGAGCATATAATAAGTAAACCGTATGGCGCCCAAGGCCGCCGATTCGTAAACGCATCGCTCGCACGACACGCGATGACGCCCAGGGCTGCCTATCCTACATACAATCACTGGGCGTTTGGAGGTAGTCCAGGCCAATTTATGAGCGCGCTCGATTGGAGTGTCTCTGACGTCAAAGGCGGCTGAAACGCAAAGCCCGTGGTCGCTGTAACCGACCAAGGCACATCTTCTCGCGGCAGCGGGACAAGGAAGCCAAAACGGGCGTGACACGTACGACCGCCTGGAAGCAATGTGGCGGCCAAGCCGGACCAAGCACAAGCTGCGGCAATCTCATCCCGACCCCGAGCGTAATGCAAGAAAGCTTCGAACAGGAACGATTTATTGGAGCCACCAGGACCATCCACGAAGAAAATAGCAGCCTCGCGATTGTCGAAGGCACGCACTAGCTCCAGATACGCGTGCAATTGCTCGGGATAATCATGCATGCACGCCGCCATGCGAGCGGCCTCGCTTTCTTCGTGCGCAGGGTCATAATTTCGTTCCGCGCGCAACTCGCGTGTTCGGTGAGCATCCGCGTTAAAAGCTCAGGGTAGTGGAAACCCATAATCGGCAGTAATTTTCCCACTCCTCGCCAAGCATTCTTGCAAATGCTGCAAGGCGAGCTATTCGAATCGGCTACAACGTCGGGGTACCGGATACGGAAGTCTTCCCGGAGTTCGGGCGCAAATGTATCCCACAAGCAGAAGGGGTCGGCTACCTCGCAACAAATCAGAATCATCGCTAGGAAGCGTCTCGCTCGTGCGGCCGTGGCCACAGCCAGCACGTCGCGCAACGCAACATGATAGTGTTCGTCCGAGTCGCACAGTCCACGCGCTGTCGCTACAGCTTGAAAGGTAGGCAAGAGCTCGCCCTCCACGGTTCGCAAAATTTTCGAATCCGCAAGCTCCCGGCTGCGCGAGCAGAAGCAAGAAAAGGTAGAATCGCTCACCTTCTGTTGGGGGCCACATTCGCGAGTCGCCCGATCACCTTGCAGGCAGCAACGCGACTACGTGTCTTCCATACCTTCGCGGAGCGGTCCCAGACGTACTGGTTAGGAATATCGTGATAATGCGTGGCAAGTATGCCAAGCTCATCGGACTCAGATTCGCGCACGTTCTTATTCATCTCAAACCACGCAGTGAGTGTACTACGGTGCCGTCTGACATCACGATTCGCTTGCACTTCTTCGCCCTCCTCGAAGAGGATCTGCTTCTCGCCAGGTAGATGTGTGGCCAAGCATTGCGTAGAGTACGAATTGCCGTGAAGCGGAAATTCGAGCAAACGCCATATTGCCTCATCGGGGCCGACCCATCTTGCATCGATATGAGCTTTGATTTCGTCGGCAGCATCGGTTACATCCGTATTGGTCCGGTCATGTCCTTTGTATATATTTATTTGTATATATACTTGACCAAACAGATGCTCGAAACCACCTCCATTTCTGTTGCCCGCAGCACAAATCGACCGAGCTGGCCAAATAAGAAAGCTTGAGCGCTACATGCATGAAACACATCAGAATCTCATATCGTTGCCAACTATTAAGCAAAAAATCTAGGTTATAAAATGCAAGACAAAGCGGTACCACACTTTCTGGCTTCTAATATTCCATGCTCGGCTAGCAATATTCCCACCGATGCAAGTCAAAGCGGCACTATACTACGCGGCTTCTGACATCCCCTGCTCGGCTAGCAGTATTCCCACCAATGCAAGTCAAAGTGGCACCACGCTACTCGACTTCTGCCATCCCATGCTCGGCTAGCAGTATTCCCACCGATGCAAGTCAAAGCGGCACCACGCTACTCGGCTTCTGATATCCCATGCTCGGCTAGCAGTGATCCCACCGATGCAAATCAAAGCGGCACCATACTACTCGACTTCTGATATCCCATGCTCGGCTAGCAATATTCCCACCGATGCAAGTCAAAGCGGCACCACGCTACTCGCTTCTGACATCCCATGCTCGGCTAGCAGTGATCCCACCGATACAAATCAAAGCGGCGCCACGCTACTCGGCTTCTGACATCCCATGCTCGGATAGCAATGTTCCCATCGACGTAAGTCAAAGCACGCAAGTCAAAGCGGCACCACGCTACTCGCTTCTGACATCCCATGCTCGGCTAGCAGTGTTCCCACCGACGCAAGTCAAAACGGCACCACGCTACTCGGCTTCTGACATCCCATGCTCGGCTAGCAGTGATCCCACCGATGCAAGTCAAAGCGGTACCCCCGCTACACGGCTTCTGACATCCTATGCTCGGCTAGCAGTGTTCCCACCGATGCAAATCAAAGCGGCACCACGCTACTCGGCTTCTGACATCCCATGCTCGGCTAGCAGTGTTCCCACCGTGACACGTCCGGCCTGCCGGGAAGCGTTGCCCCGATCTCGGGGTCCAGCTGGACGGCGAGCAGCGTCAAAAATCAGATACGACCTGGCTAACACGCAAGCCCGAGACAAAATGGGCGGCGTGGATTCTGCAAATATCTTGCAATCATAGGGAAGGTTCATATTCAGAAGATCGAGAGATTCAGTGCTCTGAGCCCTTGCGGATAAAGCCAAAAGATGCCTGCTGCCATGTTTCAGCTACACTTGCACGACGTGTTGCGAGCTTGAAAGCAAAAGCCATGCTAGAATCATGCCCTACACTTCGTGCCTTCGGCCATGGGCAGTGAAAGCTAACACCTGAAAAGAGATCCCTGAACGCATTCCGCTGCAATAGCCCATGCCTCTAACGTCGACCTCACAAAGCTAATCGGAAGGGACCTGCTGGCACGCGCGAGGTGGGAAGTGTAAGTTCCGTACGCCTTCACGCGGATCCATTCGGCTCCATGCGGCTCCATGCGGCTTCAGTGGGTTTGGGGGTAAGCCCGTCCTCAATGCATCCCCGAGTTGTGCTGCGTTTGCCCGTGACATACGCTCTAATGCCCCGAGCTGTGCTCCGCTTAACCGCGACATACGTTCTAATTCATGCAGCAAGAATACGGGCATCCAAGATAAGAAGGCTGCATCCGTTTCCTAAATTTATCTAAATTTCCTGAAAATTTTGGGTGTGTAAATTTTCGGGAAATTTAGGAAAGCGATGAAGCAAATTTTCCGGAAATTTAGGGACAGAGGCTTCAGGCTACCCGGAACCAGAAATTTTCAGAAATTTAGGGGAACGAATCCGGCTGCGGCCGTTGAAGAGGCCTAGCCGACCAAAGGGTACAGCCCAGGCCCCAAAATTTCCCGGAAATTTTGGGTCTCGGGTAGGCCAAATCGCCGGGGTCCAAAAATTTCCAGAAAATTTTGGGGCTGGGGCGCTCCGAGGCGTGACGCACAGCATAGGGCTTGTTTGACCGTAGCGTTTTATAGAGTAGATTTTTTCTATTTAATAGGCTAATAGGCGGTTATGCCATTGATGGAATCGATGGGCCTTTCTAATTCTTTATATTAAGATACACATATTTCTTTGAAAAGACTACGGATTTAATCGTGTGCTCTATAATATTAATCTTATATTTCTTTTTGGATTTCTATGGAATTTTCAAGGGGTTTTGGAAAATAATCGGGAATTTGGAATATTTTGATATTGAAGATATCTCATTCGAGAAATTCTGGAGAAAGATTTCTGATAATTATCGTTTCTCTCCAGAAGAATCATCTAAAGGGATTATTTGACGATGCAACCACGAAACCAGAAATGAATTTCTGGAATGAAGCGGTCGCATTGACCGGAAGAGTGTTGGTCGACCTCTCGGCGACGCTACGCATACCTATACAAATGTCTTGGCAATACAAACGAAATATGTTCCCGAAAATGGCCCTTAGTACCATCACTAAATCATTCCAATGGACCATCCCATATTTGTCAGAAAGAATCCAATAATCGGCCTCCCTCGGCATTCCCCTCTCCTACATAATCGAAAATAACAAGTTCGAAATTAATGCCCTGCTCATTACAACGCGTCAATGGCGATCGATCCCGATATTTGTATTGGGTGTATTATTCGTTGAACTCTGCGATCCCGTTCCCAAGCGGAAAGGTGACACCACCACAAAATCAATAATGACCCGATTGAAATGCTGCCATATTGATTGTCGACACATAGGGATGGGTTCAATCAGAATAACTGGTCGATACACAGGATCTTTCTCTCGTCCTATTCCCAATCCTCCGCCCCACATTACACGACTCATCTCATCTCGGATGAGATTAGGAAGAATGAATTTATCAATCATATTTCAACTCAAGCAATGATGACCATAGATATCGCTAGTTTGGGGACATATTCGACACTCCTCATCAATATCGAATAACGAAAATCCAAATCGTATGGAAAGGATATTATGAAATACAATATTAGACAAAATCGTGTCAAATACTTGATTCGGAATTGTGCGAATCCATCCATCAGCCCAAACTCCCGAATGAATAAATCTCCACTCGCTTCCGATAGGCAATTGGAATAGGAAATCATCATTCTTTCAATAAATCTTTTTGCTTAAATTTATCCCCGTCATCCCTCGAACAAGGCCCCCACTTAAGGAACAAAATTTCCAAATATTGCAAGGCCATTACCAATAAGAAGATCGATTTGTCGCCTGCGTCTGGAAGTAATGCTTCACGGAGATGACGTGTGGAACGAATGACGAAAATATAGGAGATATCGGCTCTCGAACAGAAATCCCATCCAATCATTATCTTCTCAATCTCCATCCCCAACCCACCCCGGTCAGTAGGGAAGCCAACTTGCCGCCGTATTTGGTCTGAGAGCGGATGACCCATGATAATTTCCAGGGCCTATTTGAATCTACTTTCGTGCCAATTAAATAATGAAGTTAAGAAAGTACGTGGGGTCGTATGTGCCATGAATTGAAGCAGATAATATTCCCATCATTGTTACAATAAATGAAGTGCCGCTTGCTTACACTCCAAAGCTTCCATTTTCTGAATATCTGCATAGCAGATTCAATTTAATCTCAAATTTCTGGGTCAATTGGATCTCCGCCTGGAAATATTTCAGAACTTCTTGAATTCTCGATCCTCATTGAAATTATCGTCAACGTATTCTGGCCGAAAGGGGGGAGCGAACCCGCGCAAAGCGACGACTTCTTCAACGCACCTCTTATGAATCAAGCAAAAAAGGGCCATCATCATTGGGCGCCTCTATTGTCCTCGATGATTCTTATATGTGCTCCCATTATACACGAGAATCGATTCCGTAGTGTAGCAATATTCTGCGAAAAGAGACGACGTCGGTGTAAAGAGACGACAATCGTATAAGAATTCCGCAGGCAACACCATATTAAATGTGTTTTTCATATCCTTCTACAGAAGAACCGAATCAGTCTCTCCCCTGTTACTAGCGACCCATTCTCGCGCCGCGTGGATCAATCCCTCCGCCCCGCCGGCGACGGCCACAATAAGCTGCTGGGACAGCAATCGACCCCGAATCCCAATAGAGTCATGTTTACCGATATATCAACATATCATAAGGTTGATACTATTCTTCTCTCATAAGATAATGAATCGTCGGAGATTCCTCGGGAAATTCGATTCAAAATATCAAGCATCAGAAGTCTCATAATATATTCTCCTGAAGTAAACGACCAATGGTCCCTTGGGCCTCATCCATAGACGCCTGTGCTGCACGACATTTATATAAGATATGAGAGAGTCCCCTCTGAATGCCAATCGAAATTCGAATTTTCAAATCCTGTTTTATGGTTTCCAAAGGAGAATTCATGATTCGATCATATTCTTGGTATATATTCTTCAAAAGATCCCACGTATCCATCTTGCAATCACCTATTGATTCGAAAATACTAGGTTCAAAACCCAAGTTCTATGCCTGACAGGCCATGTCCGCATCCCGCCCGAGCCCGATACGACCAAATTGAAAGTAGAAATCGTATATGGAGATATCAATACGATATCTAAGGCTAAACGAGGATACTTCCATCAAGAATTTTGATGGAGAAGAGATCTTGCAATACAGAGAATATCCGCCGGGCGTCTACCCTCAACATTTGATAGAGATCAATTTTCTTTTTTTTCCGACAATATTAAAAAAGCGTAATTATTCTCCAAACCAGCGGTATAATTTCCTTTATTTGGATTCAAATTATTTTGCAAGGAAGGAGACCGAACGGCGCCTGGGTTTCCATAGCCGTGCTCTTCAATCCGCGCGTGGGCCTGCGCGTGACATTCAGAACATGCTGGGGCACTTGAATCATGCGCTCGCTCCGGATGATTACGCAGGAGGGCGGGTGTGGATCGAAGACGATGAGGTAAGACTACACGGCCCGAT